GCCACGGCGACGACTTGTCACATGTCAGGATCCACTTGATCACGGGACATTGTGGACGCGTTGCGATGACACTTCCAAGTGTCACGGCAAGTTGCGCCCATACCCAAACACATCTAAAGCAACATGGGTTAGATCCATGAACTAAACCATGTGAGGAACGTCTGGCGTGCCTAGGGCCATATGGCTTCTTGGGGCACCCACGTTGGACTCACTTGCCAAGACATACCAGTTGGCCAATCCAGCACGTCGTATTCCAAAAGTATGACGCGGTGGGTTGGCCCACATCAAAAGCACCATATGGACAATGGGGCGGGGTCCTGATCAGTCAGGGCCTATCCAATCGTTCAACTTTTTCATTACCATAAAAAGCAACCAATCTTAGATAGCGTAGCTACTATGCAGTTGTACAGGACTTTACTAAGCATTGTTGTAGACAGTATAAGTAGCGCGTCATTTCTTTGTATTGGGGAGCTTTCCCCCGGACTGTGAATCATACCCATATCAGATTGTTTTGTGCAATTTGCGTGTCGCGTGATTCCGCCTTAAGAAATTCTGCTATCCCTGCCCGGTTGCAACGAGTTGCTCCCTGAGCACTTGTAGCTACTGTGATTTGAGTTTGAGTTGAGATATCAGAAAGTCGGATTCACTGCTTCTGGTTTAGTTGCGGCATTTCGTGTTGTTGCCTTTGGTGTGACAATCAACCCAAAAATAAAGTCGAAAAGAGAAGTGAATTCGAAGACTGGAGAATACAACCAAGTAGCTACAGTATTTATACCCAAATCCAGTCTGAGTCATATCTACAACTAATGAGTCATAGGGCTATGTACCACATGGAACGCTGGTCATGGGTTGTAGTAGAACCTTCTGGAGCATATGTCGCGCAGCCTTGAATCGATAGAGATAACCCCTGGCCCGGACCGTCTGATGCCGTGATCCGTGATAAGATAACCCGTGTCGAGATAAGATGAGATTGTTGAAGATAAGATGAAAAAGTGGCCGAACTATGACATTACCCCCTCTCTAGGGTCGATGTCCTCATCGACTAGGCCAACGGGTAGGAAGACGTTCTCGTAAGGGTCGAAGAGCTGTCGTTGGGGATATGGAAGGCGCTCGTCTTTGGGTTTGTAGCGATGAATGAGATAGTCCCAATGTCCAGCTTCGAGCATTGGCAAGAGGCGAATGCGTGTGTCCGGGTTTGATTGTTTCCTCTGCCAATCTCTCAGGACCTTCTTTGCGTGGGTAAGGTGACGTGATGGTTCCCAGGTGTTCTCGCTATGCGGCCATCCCTTCCATTTGACCAAGTACTGTTTTCCTCGGCCGACGTTTCGCTCTTTCACGATCTCTTCGACTTCCCACTCCTCTGCTCCTCCGATCATCTTGGCTACGGGCCTCTTCTCTCGGCGATGGGGGGGTGGTTTGTGATATGGTGTCAATAGTGACTCGTTGAACACCGGGTGTCTTCGGTCCGTGTCCGGCAAATCCAGCTTCCATGCGGTCGCTCCAACCTTCTCCAGTATCTCGTATGGTCCTAATCTCTTGTCGCTCATCTTCTTTGATGGTCTATCCGTCTCGATGTTTTCCCCTTCTATGTACACCTTCATCCCAACCTTCAACTCCGGAACTTCTTTTCTTCGTTTATCGTAGTATTTTTTCATTTTTTCTTTTGCTTTTTCCAATGCTGCTTTTGCTTTGTCTTGTATTTCTTTGATTCTTTTTACAAATTCCTCCGCCGACTCGTTCCTCGATTCCATCCGCTGCTCCACTCCCTTCCATGGGTGATATCCGTGATTCGCATAGAATGGCGATACTTTGGTGGACGTGTTCATCTTGTCGTTATATGCGAACTCCGCCATTCCCAGCCACTCCGACCAGTCCGTCTGATGGTAATTGACGTAGATGCGGAGATAATGCTCAATCTCCTGATTCATGCGTTCTGTTTGTCCATCTGTGATCGGGTGATATGCGGTCCCCGGATTCATTTCCACGCCCAACATCCGATTTGTCTCCTTCATGAAGCCTTTGATGTAGCGCGAATCCCTGTCGGTGATGATCTTGCGGGGGATCCCGTGGTAGCGGAAGACCCGATCCCTGGTTAATCGTGCAACTCCTTCACTGCTGATGTCAGTACTAATTGGTTCGACATGGATCATTTTGGTGAAGGTGTCACACCACACATGAATTGCGTCATACCCATTACTGACCGGCAGGGGTCCGATTTGATCCATGGAGATGATTTCCCACGGCGCATTTGGGACTGCATGCGGGTGCAGAGTCCCTGTCCTTGCTCTCCTGGTCTTGGTCCGCTGGCACGCCTCGCACGTCTGGATGTACTTCCGGATTTGGTTCCCCATCCTTGGCCACCAGTAGTTCCTTTCCACCATTTCCTGTGTTCGATTGATCCCAGCGTGTCCGACCAAGGGTGTGTCGTGGTGTAGCCCGATGATCTTGTCTTGCAGTTCCTTGTCCCTTGGTATGTAGAGCTTCCCATGGTACGTGATGAGCCCGTCTTCCTTCTTCCATCCGACGAGTGACTTCTCCAAGGCCGCCTTGACGCTTCCATCAATTGATCGAATGGCCTTGATCTCATCAATTAGCTGCTGATCCTGTCCCTCAAATGTGACTTCTTGTGATCGGAAGAATTTGGGCTTCAGTAGCGTGACGTCCTTGTTGTCGTTCTTGCCCTGATCGTGATCCGCTCGTCGAGACAGGAGATCCGCCTTGCGGTTGAGTGCGCCGGGCCGGTGTCGTAAGGTGAAATCAAACTCCGCCAACTCCGTGATCCATCGTGCTTGTCGTCGATTGAGCTTCTGCGGCTTCCGAAAGTACTCGAGATTCTGATGATCGGTGAAGATCTCGAACGTTTCCGTGGCTCCCAGAAGCAACTGTCTCCATTCGTCAAGCGATAACATGATTGCAAGCATTTCCTTGTCGTAGATCTCGTAATTTCGCTCGGTTTCGGTCAGTGCGTGCGAAATAAACGCAATTGGGCGCCAAACGCCGTCTTGGTTTTGGCTCAAAACTGATCCTGTTGCCCCTTCCGAAGCATCGGCTTCCAGATGATATTGGCCGGTGTCGTTTGGTAGAGCTAGGACCGCATCCTCCGCGATTCTCTTCTTCAATCCATCAAATGCAGCACGCTCATCCGTACCCCATGACCATCCTGCCTTCCCTGTCAGCCGAGTCAACGGCTTGGCAACCTCCGCGTATCCCCGAACAAAGCGTCGATAGAAGTTTGTGAACCCTAGAAACGCTTGGACTTGTTTGACGCTCTTTGGTTCCGGCCATTCCATCACGCCCTTGATCTTGACTGGGTCCATCCGCATCGAATTGTGTCCGATAATTACACCCAGATATTCGATTTCCGTGCGTTCGAACTCGCACTTTTCGGGCTTCAGGTATAGCTTGTGTTTCTGGAGCAATTCGAGCACTCGTTTTGTGATCCGCCGATGTTCGTCCAAGCTCTCTGTGAAGATCAGTATATCATCAAGATAGACTACCACGTGTCCCTCGTTGATCAATTCTCGGAGTATGTCGTTCATCATGTTTTGGAACGTTGCCGGGGAATTCGTGAGACCAAAGAACATAACTAAGGGCTCGTACAGCCCTCGGTTCGTGCGGAATGCAGCCTTCCACTCATCGCCCTCTTTGATCCGTACATTGTTATATCCCCACCGGATGTCGAGCTTGGTGAAGAACTTTGCGCCGCATAGGTTATGGACCAGTTCGGAGATCAGCGGCAGTGGGTATCGATTCCGGATTGTCATCTCATTCAGCTTCCGATAATCTTGCACGGGACGTAGCAAACCATCCTTCTTTTTGACAAAGAAGAATGCTGAAGCCATGGGTGATTTTGATGGTCTAATCCGTCCGCTGGCCAGGTTTTCTTGTAAGAATTCGTCCAGTTTGACTTGTTCATTGCGTGATAACGGGTACACCTTGCAGTCCACTGCTTTGGAACCAGGTTTGAGCTCAATCGCATGATCCCATGTCCGTCGGTCCGGTAGTGAGTCGAACGATTCCTTGGCAAATACCTTGACAAATTCCCGATATTGATCCGGAATCTTCCCCTCGGTCATCCTCTCCTTCTCTTTTTCCGCTTCTTCTGCGAATTTCTGTGCCGGCGTTTCCTTCAGCCGTAGATCCACCTCCTTCCCAAAGTCGATCAACAGGATCGATTCTCCCTCTTCCAGATCCGGTGTGTCCGTGTCCAGGTCGATTGCATCCATGTCAATCATCGCTTGATGCTCCTCGTGACCCCTCATGTGACACCGCTCTGGGCATCGGCTGAATCTCATGGTCTGCTCCTGCCAATCCACCTCGGGGTTGTGTTCCATCAGCCAATCAAGACCGATGAAGATCCGGGCTTTCCCCAAGCACGTCAGAAGGAACGTGCGTGTCTCCACATGAGGACCGATTCTCATCCTAAGGTCGACGTAATGCGTGATCCGACCGCTGATGTTTTCGGTGTTGTCGGCGTTACGAGCCACAATGGGTTGTGGGAGCTCTTGAATATCCAACTTCTCCGCCCGTGCATAGTCGGTATCGATGCAGCAGGTACTGCAGCCGCTATCGAGCAGCGCCTTGACTCCGCGCGTTTTTCCTGAGTCCAGACCCGTGATCTGGACATATACGTCCATCGAATGCCTCTTCCTCTCGGCCTGGTAATTGCGCAGTTCCTGCGCCAACCTGCTGGGCTGGGGGCCTTTCTGTTTCTCGGCCGCCAATTTCCTCTGGACGGCATCTGGCACCCTGGTGCGTTTGGGTGCTTCTGGAACCTTGATTTCGGCAGATTCCTTAGGCGCTTCCTCCTTTTCCAAGGATTGAGCCTTCGGAGCGGTGCTCCCCTTTTCGGTCTTTGTTGCGTGGTTCCTTCTCCATGAGCCATAAATACGTTAGGGTACTGTTTATAATTCTGGGGAATTAGAAACGCGTTTATAAACGTGTTTTAAAAACCTAGCATGTTTACAAACATGTTTATAATTCTATTTACCTGAGACTATCTAGAACTCGTCCTCGTCCATCAGGTCATCAATAATAAGTTTCACCTTACCCTTACCAACAGTATTTTGGGATCCAAGATCAGTCTCACCAAGAGATTTAATTTCATCTGCACCAATGACAGGTTCGTCGCTCAGGAGATCGCGAAAGAAAGCATGTCGAAAGTTGACACCGGTAGACTCAATGCCAAAGAAAGTGGCAGCATGCGAAGATTTGTCGCATTCTCCGGGAGAGTCTTTTTCGAGGCATTGCAATCCGGCCATGCATTCTTCGGATAGAGGCCCATCCTGATTGATCTCTGAATCGGTCTCATTTGCGGGCGCCTCTGCTGACTGTCCTGTCTTGAATGGCATAAGTTTTTTCACCGCGCGCCATCGAAGAACGGGTGGATGTTTGGCCGAATCATCCTGGAAGCGAATCAATAGGGAGTTTGAACTCTTGGGCAATGAACAAACGGGAGAATTGCGCTCATCTTCTCGACGAAGATGCTGCTGAATCTTCGTCATTGCAATGATGGTTTTAGCACTTTGATTTGCGCGGTCGTTGGTGTTGAGCTTGGTGAAATTAGAAACTGTCCGCTCTTCGGCCATCGAGTTTGGAAGAATGCCGAGGACTTTAATTGCAAGATACTGCGGGAAATAGTTAGAAATTGCGCTAGATATTGGACGGTTCATGTCAAGACTTTGGTACTCACCGCCAAAATTCCGGCATCGGGTCTATCGCTCATTGCCATCCAATAAAGGTACGGCTTTGTCCATGCACTTGATCGAGCACTGAACGGCGCATGCTGACGCGTGTAAGCCTCGAACTGGGCCCGAAACGCGCCGAGAACATCAGCACTCTTTTTGTACCCTGAAAATTGCGGCGGATTTCGTTCCGCCTTGATCTCCCGTTGTAGCAGCGAATAAAGATACGCTCCGACTGTCCCATAGGCAGGGATTGAATCGCGAAGATCCTTGTCGGTAGATGAGCCTGTAGACATTGGAGTTGCTGTTGCTGAACGGGCGAGACGATTGGCTGTTGTCTCGCGCAAAATCGGACTGTCAACACGGTCTGTGAACAAGTTAGGGAGTATCGAAGACAGAGAGAGAAATCAGACCTGGATTGAGATAAAATCCGGCCAGATAGACGCCGCCGTCTGGTCCCTCAATCAATTGCTCGAATCTATTGTTCACATGGCCTCGAATCTCGTCCATAGTGTTGTCCGGAATACCGAGCTCGTTACTGGTGAACAAGTCGTCGAGAACCGCAGTGATCGCAACGAAGAACATCCAAATGTCTCCGGTGGTGACCTGAGTCCCCTCAAGGCATTTGATTGTTCGTGCAATAGGCTCCAGCACAGCGAGCAGCTGTTTCACGTGAAGCTGGAATTCGGTGTATTCACGCAGGTTCTTCATCCATGAGAGATTGCGTCCATGCTGACAGTAAATATCAGTATTCTTGTTTCGCGAATGAGGAACGAAGCACACCTTATTCTGAGAGTTAGTAGCAACGACCCCCGTTTGAACGAGCATGTGAATGGGTGGTAACAGAGGGTCGAGTGCAGAAGTGGCCCAAAAGACCGTCCCAAATCGAGTCTTTCCGATCTTCTGAAGTCCATGATTGAGACCTAAACTCACACGCATCCCGTCAAGATGAGTAGAGGCTTGTGTCGACTGCGAAAAGTGCGAGACTATGTCTCGAATTTTGAGGATAGGCTTCGAAAGAATGAATCTCGAGCTGGGCCAGAATTATGAGTACACGTACCATGACAAAATACTCAATTGCGCAGATATTCTTGATCAGATTTGACGCGTGGTGGCACGGGTCTGGTGCTTGTATCAGTGTCGGAATCTCATCAACCAAGAGATCTCGCGAAAGTCTTGTGTTCCCCGTGCTGTCACAAGATACAGCCGAGAAATTTGAGCGACCGATTCGATCCATGACCTGACAAAGATCGATGAAGTCAGAGGCACATTGTGATGGTTAGTCTACTGCACACAGACCTTCAATGCCGCTGCTTTGATGTGATCTCCGGTATGCGAGAGCCCCGACGCAACATCGCCATGGACAAAGTAAGAGATGCGGGTGTCCGGGGTAGTGACATGGAAGGTGTAAATCGATTCTCCCTTCTTGATTGTAGCACCGTCGTAGCTGATCGTCAGATTCTGCTGCTTCCGCAACAGCCGATTGACAAGAACAGTGATACGTGCGGCTTCGGCTGGGATCTTGTTCTCAGAGAACGTGGTTGACACATAGATTTTGTTCTTGGGATCAAGATGATTCATGAACCTCATCTTTGTTCAGTATTCAAACACACCTAAGACATGTGAAAAACTCACTTCCGGAACCGCGGCGCATCAAAAAGACGAAGGGCAAGACCAGCACTGCACCAGAGCTCAAGTGCAAGAAGGTTGGTTTTCACAACACGTTCGTCCTGCCCAGTCTTCACAAATGCCGCAAACGCGTCCTTCCCCGGCTCCTTCTCATTGTTGTCCTCGTCGTCCTCATCCAGCACTACTTGGGCTCCGAGTGCATCCTCAGCATTCTCCATCAAGGCATCCTCTCTTGTCTCCTCGGGGAAGTATGCACACTCTGACGCATGTGGGAGGATGCGGCCCGACATCCGTGGCGCCGAACAGCTCCATTTACATCCGTCTCCCATGCAACGGAAGCGCTTCTTTGTCTTGTCAGTGATGGAATGACAAGGGATGACGAGACGGTCAAGGAGCTTATTTGTGGGAGCTCCGCGACCGCGTTTTGCCAGCTTGGGCTCCACCACATCGTCTTCAAGATCGTCAAAGTCCCAAGGGATCTGTTATTGCTTTCACAGCACATCAGATTGAATCAAATATGATGACATACCTTGCCCTGCTCTGTCTTCTCCTTTGCGGCGGCAAGATCCTTTTTGGACTGGCCTTTGACAGCAGCGAGATCCTTCTTCTTCCGCTTGGCTGAATTGGTCGTGTTTTCCTCCTCCTCCAACAATCGTTTGGCAGCAGTTGTGTGGATCGCCCGAGGAAGCTTCGCACATCTGATAAGCGCACACTTACCATCTTACAGCATGGCACGCACCGTCTGATTGGCGTCTAAGATTGCCTTCTTTGCAGAACTTCGCAGATCATCCACCCATTTGCACATAATGACATTACTACCCCCCGACCCAGTGATATACTGACGAAAGACTTCGACGATTGCTTCTAGAGCAGGCCCACGTGTTTTGAAGACAACAGGTATCATTTCGTCCTTTCCTGGCAGCGTTCGCGCACCAAATGACACCTCCACGGCCTGGTTCACAGCAGCCCTCTCATCGCCGAAGTCCACCACCTTCTCCGGATCAGGTTCAAAGTTGATGAAGTCGTGCTCAGTACCGATGGGAATGGTGTCAGGGAGGGCCTTGAGTAGGCGGAGCAGCTCCTTGAGTTCGTCGGAGTAGTAAGACGCACCGCCCCCACGGGCGGCAGAAGTTTGCTTTGCAGTTTTTAGACCTTGTGGCGCCATGTGCTACGTGGTGACAGCGAAGATGATAGCGCGGCTAGTGGCACAGCAAATTTGATTGACGGATGATGTATCAATTATAAACGGCGCATTCCGGGACTCAAATTGAAAACCATGTTTATAAACATGTGTTTATAAACATGTTTTAAAAACCGAAAAACAAACAGTACCCTAAAATACGTAGGAATCCAAAATTAATTTATCTGCAGCTTTCCGATCCTTTTTACTTTGTAAATACTCTCTATTTAAAGCTATTTTTCCTTGGCGTTCTTTTTCCATATCAGCAATGAGAAATTCGTGGATATTGGTACGTAGTGAGTCCGAGATTGTATATGTATATGCAGAATAGTTCATGTCTTTAATTGAAACAAGTATAGAAAATCGTCCATAGTCCGGACGCTCCACCTCCTTGGCTAGAGGAGTGGAGCGCTTCAAAAACCCTTCTCGCGCAGCTTCTCGGCAATCTCCTTGAGGAACTCGTTGTCCTTGTCCCCGTTCTCGATCTCTTCCAGCATCGTGGCCCGATTGAAGAATGTGCGCTTCTTCCTTGGTTCCGGGCAGTTCCGTGCAATGTGCCCAGGCTGCTGACAGTTGTAGCAGATGATATTGCAGCCGCGAGCGTGGGTGCGATCGATTTCCATCGGAACCGGCTCGTTGGCGGCGGGTCGGGCCGGGGCGGGTGCCAGTGTCATTGGGGCTACCTGTGGGCGGAATTGGGGAGGCGGTCGTGGTGCGGAGTGCGCATGCGATGCTTTGCGCAGCTGATTGCGTAGGGCGTTTGCCTCGATGTTGATGCACCAGGCTTTGAATGCCCCATAGGCCTTGGGCAGAGGAACACCCGTGTTGTAGAGACGACTGGCAATCTCGCTACTGAGTCCGCGCTCCAGGAACTCGATGAGGATATTGTCTTGATCTCCCTTCTTGTATTCGCCCTTGTCGTCGGTGGTGTCGACCACATTGTATCCCGCATCCGCGGCCAACATCTCAAAGTCGGAGATGTAGTCCGCGAAGGACCGTTTGTTCTGGCGCAGGGCCATGAGTCGAGCCGCAGCGACTTGTTCCGCATTGGAGTCCCCAAAGGCCCTCTGGAGCTCCTCCAGGAAATTCTTGGATGTGACTCCTGCCTTCAGTCCCTGGAAACCATCGAAGTTGTGCTGCTTCCAGTTCATCGCCCATCTTGAGGCAGCGCAGCTTGTGCCGTTCTCGTTACGGAGGTAGGAGAGGACGAAGAGGATTTTGGTCTCGTCCTGCGAGAACTCTGATCGGTAGGCACCAATGTAGGTGGTGCACGAGTCTACGAAGCCCAGATATTTGGATTTGTCCCCATCGAAGTAGGGAGGGTTGGCGGCGAGGGTGATGCGATGGTGTCCTGACATGGTACGAGCAGGTGCAGTAGGTGGGGGTGAGGGTGGTTGTTCGGAGGGCAACTCGTCGAGGTCCGGGATCTCGTCTTCAGGCGGCGGGAGGGCGAGATAGGGGTTGGAGGGCCCGGGTTCGTTTTGATGCGCCAGATCGGGCGACGATGGTACGATGGGGGGAGGGGATGGACTCCCAGACGACGATGGGAATCGGTACGAAATGGTGGATTCGTGTGCTGTACAAGCACTCGAGGAAAGGTTCTTTTGCTAGCAAAAAGATCCCGGGCCTAGCTCTTCACGTGCCCGATGATCCCGAGGTGCGTTTTCCCGAAGGTCTCCGCAGCACTCCTTGTAGCTACCGTAAGGCTTGGGTCGGGCTCAACGTTACCCGTGGCCTGGTGCTGTTTGCTCGATATGAACCCTTCACTGCGATCGCAGAGAACGACTAGATGATTCGGTAGAAGGGTAAGTTGGTTGACAAGGGTTAAGAGGATATAGCGGGCGTAGCGGTGCAGGATGCAGGGTAAGAGGTATGAGGTAGGAGGGTATGAGGGGAGTCTTCGAATTATGTGACAATCAACCCAAAAATAAAGTCGAAAAGAGAAGTGAATTCGAAGACTGGAGAATACAACCAAGTAGCTACAGTATTTATACCCAAATCCAGTCTGAGTCATATCTACAACTAATGAGTCATAGGGCTATGTACCGCATGGAACGCTGGTCATGGGTTGTAGTAGAACCTTCTGGAGCATATGTCGCGCAGCCTTGAATCGATAGAGATAACCCCTGGCCCGGACCGTCTGATGCCGTGATCCGTGATAAGATAACCCGTGTCGAGATAAGATGAGATTGTTGAAGATAAGATGAAAAAGTGGCCGAACTATGACATTTGGGCTTTGTTGAGATCGTTTCCACACCTCTAGTTTGGCAGTGCGTTGACTAGTTGTGCTCAGGTAGTTTTGGTCAGTTGGCAGCGCGTTGACTTGAGAACTTTGGTTCCACACCTCTTGCTTGGCAGTGCATCAACAAGTTGTGCTTGGGTTTTGGACATTGGATATTGGCTGTTAGTTGGCAGTGCATCGACGTGGCATTTTGGTTCTACTAGTTGGCAGTGCGTTGACTCAGTACTTTGGCTGTATTGGTTGGCAGTGTGTCGACTTGATATTTGGGCTTTGCATTGCCATCTGGACGCTGTCGCTACAAGGGATCTTAATACTTTGTATTAAGCTCTGACTTGTGATATTGTTGGTTGTGGTTGGATTAGTGTTGGTTTTGGCTGCTGTATAGAAGATATTGGTTGAGACACCATTGTTTGCTATATATAAATTCTTGTTGTCGACTCTGTCTTCTGCGACTATTGGATCTGTGTCTATTGAGAGTTGTGATACTGGTGTTCTGTCCACCCCAAAGCCCTCGCATCTTTCACACACTGAGAAGCTGATTACGAGGAGTGTGAACGTATTTATATTTGGGTTTACTTTCATAGTAGATTCACCTGTGAGCACGCCCTCAGCATTTCAGCGCGTCTGGTAGCCAGCCTATCATTGACTCAGAAGAATTCCATCCCGTTCTGCGACCCAGTCACGTGGTATAGTCAGCCTATTTGACCACAGACGTGTCAAGAGTCTGGGAGGAAAGAATTTGCCTTACATTATAGATGATTTTGCCCGTAGATGTGCCTAGATATGTAAAGAATGATGTATTCGAAGCGAGCACTTTGCGCTTGTGCGCGATTCCATTTCATTATGTATGTGAATTCCGAGTTGCTGTGAGCCTGTGACGAAGACACGGGTCGCAACGCTAGTCTGGATGACACGTGCAGGGATCACGAGACCGCACAACAACCTTGCAAACCGCGTCCACGTGGGCATTTGTTACCAGCTCCGCTCAACGCACATGGCCAACAGTGCTGTTCCCGAAAAACATTTGGAGATCCCCTTCTCCCTGGATGAATACGAAGATCGCAATATCCCAGAGTTTCGACTCGAAGACCGCCTCGCATTCTGGGATGGCCCAATACGCGCCTTTCTGCGCGAACGCGGTTATGCACTGTACAACATTTGCCCGGTCTTCGACGGCGCGAGCAGTCTGATGTATCCCTCCCTCGAGACATGCCCACAGCCCGTCGATGACGATCGGTACGCGTTCATGGATCCCGACGAGCCAGAACGGGTTCTTCCCAAAGCCAAACCTGGCCTTGAGAACACTTATCCGTATTGCAGAGAGAAGGCATATGCGCGTGAGAACCGAGTGCGTCTTTGTGTACATGAACTCTATTCGGTGTCTCCTGACTCCGAATAACAGGGCAGAGCTGCGTTCGCCCAGTGCATTGCCCGGCCCGATCGACATGTGGCTATCAAGCTCGTTCGAGACCGGAGCGTCGAGATACACACCCTAAAGTTGATCTTTGAAGCCTCGAAAGAGAAGTCCGTCCGCGGCCTGATTCCTGTTCTCGAGATCATACCTTTCCGTGGGCACTGGCTTGTTGTAATGCCCAGGTGCGTGCAAGTCATGGTTTCACAGGCCTGTCTGCAGCTCTTTAATCGTGGCATCAGGTGGGGTGAAATTATCATGTCGCCATTCCCGACGGTCGCTGGCCCTGTTCTCGACCTCATCGAAGATCTTCTCGAGGGTCTCACGTTCCTTCATGGCCACAACATCGTTCACCGAGTGCGTCCACCACTGAAGAGCCGGCCAGAGCTCGACGCGCTGACGTACTGCAGGATCACTCCTACAAGAACATATTGGTCAATCACATCCCCGTCGTTGGGCACCAGTCGGTCCGGGAGGTCCCCCCCACGCGACAGACGCTACGCAATGCGGGGGCTCTCCAGCACGCGATCTTCGACTTTGACGTGGCTCTGATATTCCCCGATCGGCCGTCCGCGCGGTTGCCACATGACGAGTTTTGGCTGGGAACTCCAAAGCTCACCGGCGAAACGATGCAGGGAGAATATGATTACGATCCATTTGCAGCCGACGTCTCTATCCTGGGCGGTAATCTCTGTCGTGATCTCCAGGTAGGCCTTGGGCTCATCGGAGACAGCATGGACTGAAATTTTTTTCCAGTATCACACACCATCTGTGCCTATCCTGGCCCCGTTGTTTGATGGCATGCTTCACTGGGATGTGCCTTCGAGGCTCACGGCATCACAGGCCCTCAGCCTCCTCCGCGCATTAAGAGCGCAGTACCGAGAGCTGGACAAGCAGCCATTGCCTGACATCGCCAACAAGTTCATCGACGTCATGGAATACGACAGGTGGAACGGGCTGCCTCCCGACTTCGTCGAGCGATGGGGTCATCTGCGGACTCCGCCAGTTCCATGGACGAGGCGATTTCTGCGGCGGATCTGTAGATACGACTTTCTTGCAAGCTGTGTGCGTTCACTGCGACGCGCGATTTCATTGATTACCGGATAGAATCAGTAGGTGTTACCAAGTCACGAGTCTATGTATACAGTGCACCATCCTATCACCACGGATGAAAGTGTGCACCTTCCGGTACCGTATCTTTCCGGCTTCTGTAGGAGAGAATGCAAACAAATTGGTTGCCCCATTGGAACATTTTTGACACTGAGAGAATTAAGTATACTGGGGTATCGTGATTTATTCACGACCACGTGTCACTGTTCTCAGTTGGTGACTGTGTCCACCGCTGCGTCACATCAGCTCGTCCCATTCGTCTGTGGTCCCAGCCGAAACAACTATTCTAAAAGATGGATGCTACACCATCTGATGAAGTTCTCATCATTCCTTTCTCCCTTGACGAGTATGAGGACCGTCTAGTACCTGAGTTTCGACTGGAGGATCGACTCGCGTTCTGGGATGGTCCGATTCGCGCCTTCCTTCGCGAACGCGGATACGCCCTGTACAACATCTGCTCAGTGTTTGATGGCACTGACTGCAGTCTTATGTATCCAGCACTGGATACGGCCCACCAATCCGTACCGGACGACGGTCGCTACGCGTTTATGGATCCCGAAGAGCCGGGTCGTGTCTTTCGCAATCCCAAGGAGGGATTTGAGAAGAATTATTTCCACTGCAGAGGGAGGGCGTATGCTCGGGAGAATCGTGTGCGTCGCTGTGTGCATGTACCTATTCGTCGTCGCTGACTCTAGGGGTGACAGGGAAGAGCCGCATACGCTCAGAGCATCGACAGGCCTGATCGACATGTTGCTATCAAACTGGTCCGCAGCGAGAGCGTCGAAATACACACTCTCAAGCTCATATACGACGCGTCGAAACGCGAACCCGTCCGGGGTCTCATTCCTGTGCTCGAGATCATCCCGTTTGGCGGACACTGGCTCGTTGTCATGCCCAGGTGAGAAACACAGATAGTCTCTATCTCCCTCAATTTCCTGAATGTTTGCTACCCGCTCCCAGATGGGGAGAGGACATCATGTCTCCGTTCCCCACACTTGTTGGACCGACCTTGTCTCTCATCGAAGATTTGCTTGCTGGTCTGGCGTTTCTCCATAGCCACAATATCGTCCATCGGGTGATGTTTCCTGGCGCATATTGCACAAACTGTACTCATGTCACCCAGGACCACTCCTACAAGAACATCCTCGTGAATCACATTCCTGTAGTCGGGCACGAGGAAATCTATGATCCCCCACCGACCCGAGAACTACTACGCAACGCAGGCGTCCTTCAGCACGCCATATTCGATTTCGACGTTGCTCTGATATATCCCGACCACAAATCCGCGCGGCTACCGTATACTGAATTTTGGCTGGGAGCATTCAAGTACACTGATGAGATATTCCAAGGCGAATACGACTACGATCCATTTGCGGCGGATGTATCCATTCTGGGAGGCTATCTTTGTTCTGACCTGCAGGTATGTGTGTGTGTGTGCGAACGCTCTGGATGTTTTCCGCTGACAATCACGGCAGTATCATACACCTTATGTGCCCATCCTGGCACCACTGTTCGATGGGATGCTGCACTGGCACGTTCCGTCTCGGCTGACGGCACCTCAGGCGCTGGAACTGTTCCGCTCGCTGCGAGCCGAATATAGCGATCTGGATTCAAAACCACTGCCTGCTATCCAGGACCGGTTCATTCATGTGTCGGAATATGACCGATGGGCGGGATTACCCGACGACTTTGTCAGGCGGTGGGGTCATCTCCGGACCCCACCGGTTCCGTGGACGAGGGCGTTTCTGCGGAGGATCTGCAGATACAAATTCCTCGCAAGTTGCGTGCGTTTACTCAGACGCGCGATTTCGTGGATCGCCTAGTAGTGTGCACCTTTCTCTCTACCTTCCGTCTCAGATCCTCTGTTTCGGAAGCATAGGATAGGGGACATACAGTGCACGATCCATGAATGCAATGCACATCCGTTTACTTACAACTTGCGAAGAAGCTCGCTGGTCTTTGTCAGGGTGTCCTGTCGTCAATGTCGGGAATGCTTGAACTGGCTCCGTGTGTGGGCATGTGTAGGCAATTCATCTTGATCCAAGTCGCCAAGTCAGTAACACGTTCTCGAGAATACAAGTCTGAAGTCAATCCGCACGATCGCCGGTTTCGCGTCAGGTGCGTGTCACGAGACCGCGAACAGACTGTGTGGAATCATTCCATCAATTGCGAAGGACTGCCTACAACTTGTTCTCAACGATGCCGACAGCGATCTGAAAGTAGTGACATGACCGTCAGGACTCGGTTCACGAATGGACCAACTGGTTGGGGTTAGACTGTCACAAGCAACTGGCAGGCTCCATGTAACTCCTAATGTACAAACTCATAGCAGCATCATGGTGACATCACTGCCTGACGCGCTCGAATATAAACCTTACTCGTGGCATTCGCACCCTCACCAGACTGAAACAACCTTTCCTCTTGCCATGAAAACAACTGCTCTGCTCACCCTGTCGCTGGCTCTCAGTGGCGCCTCGGCGACGTCGTGGTTTGGCTCCGACAAACCCAGTGCGTCTTGTGTCCTCGTTTTCTTTGTGCTTCGTTAATTCTAATCAGCACCAGCATACAGCGAGTGGTCTATTGCAGAGCTTCGACAATGGCTCCAGGAGCACAAAATCGTCGTCCCGGAATCCTTTTCGCAGCAGCAGCTGCGCGACCTCGTCCAGTCCAACTGGGACCTAGCGACCGCTTGGACATGGGACCAGTACTCGTCGGCCCAAAAGTCATTCGCGGACCTGCGCGACACGACGTTCGACGCCTGGGACGAGTCGCGGCTGCGTGAGTTCCTGCTCGAGCAGGGCGTCGTCGCGCCCAAAGGCCCACGTGAGCAGCTCGTCCTGCTTGCCAAAGCCAAGTACGCCGACTACCAGAACGCGGCGTCGACGCTCTCTGCGCAGGCGAGCACGGCAGTCTATGGCAGCCCCATGCACCAGATGACGAAGAGCGCGTCGAGTATGGCTGCGCAGGCGACGCGGGAGGTGACGCGCCAGATGGATGACACGAAGGATTACGTGTACTCGACGTGGGAAGATAACAAGCTTCGGTCGTATCTCGTGGAGAAGGGCGTGCTGGCCAAGGACGCCGCGGAGAAGACGCGGAACGAGATGCTGGCGATGATGCGCGACACTTACGTCCGCGCCACTCAGCCAATCTGGGAAGCGTGGTCTCATTCGTACATGGTGCGTTTCTTGTTTCGCGTGTCGTTCTTCAGCTTATTTTTCTTTTAGCGCGAATGGTTGATTGCTCATGACCTCATCACACCGCCTGCACCCTCGACGCCCGAGATCGTGAAAGCGAAGATGTCGCAGTACTACTATGACGTCAATGACCGCGCCTGGACGTCCTGGACCGACAGCGACATGAACTCATGGCTCGTCTCACATAACATCATCAAGTCGGACGCCCAGATCCAGCGTGAGAAACTCACGAAGCTGATCGAGGACAACTACCTCAACGCCCGCGATACGCTTTGGGAGTCCTGGAGCGATAGCCAGATGCGTGATTGGCTGGCCGAGCACGGAGAGAAGAATGTCCCTGCCAAGCGCGACCAGCTCGTCAAGCTCATGCAGAACAAGTACAACGACGCCGCCGGCATGTCTGCTGCATACTTGACATGGCCTGACGCCCGGTTGCGCGCCTACCTGCGCAACCGCGGGATCGACGAGTCTGGATTGCCGACTTCTCGACCTGGACTTTTGCGTACGTGGTACTCGTTTCATGAGTGGGGCATTGCGTTGACTAGCGTTTCACAGAGGAGACTCGTATCCGTTGGGTTCAGGCTATGACCAGCATTGAACGAATCAAGGAGCTCATCAACTCTGGCATTGAGATCACGGAGGAGAAACTGGCGTCTGTTTTGCAGCTCCTGTCCGGCCAGACCGAGAAAGCCAAAGCAGAGGGCGAGAAGATCAAGGCTGACGCGAAGAAGGTGAAAGCTGATGCCAAGAAGAACAAGGAGAACCTCAAAACGGAGCTTTGAGTGGTTGCGGACTCGTTCATTTCTTGTATTATTCACTAGCATTGATTTTGAGACTGTATCTGTAACTTTATAATCCAAGTTTTTGGACATGCTCAATCTATCTACGCGTTCCATCCCGCGGTGAAAGCATCAATCTGCTCGTGTCTCTTTACGGCGTCGTCCCAGGTCGTGATCTCTCCCCCACTCGCGAACCGTTCGTAAAGCAGACCGACATGCTTCCCGAAGACGGGAACAGGAGTGTTTGGATCCTCGGGCCAAGACTCGGAGGGACCACAATCAATCTTCTCGACTTTGTCCGTTTTGAAGTCGTGCAGCTCAACATCGACACCCTCTGCTGTGATGTGCAGCGTGAAGGCCGCCTGGTTCGTCACGCGTATTTCGCCCTGCTCCCCGGTGATGGTCCACACGAGCGACGGCTCTCCGGGGAACGGCGGGCCGCGGCGGAAGCGGAACAGCAGCGACGCATCGCGCACGACGGTGGACGACTGGGCGATGCGCGAGGTGACGATGAACAGATCTGGGACGTCGGATTCAACGGTGTGGGTGATCGCGTTCGTCACTGCGTCGCGGACGTGGCTGATCGGCCGCTGCAGCTGCAGGTGCGGCGTAATGTCGGCGGCTTCACCCAGTACGTGCTGCACGATGTCGAAGACTGCGGATGGAGGTGATTAGTGGGAGAAAGCTGCGCTGGAGCAGACTGCACGCACGATGTCCTCCGAAGATGGTGACGATGGTCCCGCCGTAAGACCGCTTCATCACGTACTCGAATGTGCTTGGGATGATGTCGCGCTCATAGGTGCCGCCCGACACGCGCAGCTCGGTGCTCAGGACCTTGCCGATCCGGCCCTCCTCGATGATCTCCTTCAGCTTGAGCGGCAGCGAGCCCACGCGGCCTTGGAACCCGACCATCGTGCGCCCGCCGGCGGCCTTGGCCGCGTCCGCCAGCTGCTTCGCGTGCTGCACATCGTGCGCAAGCGGCCACTCGACGAACGCGTCCTTGCCAGCCTTGACCGACGCGAGGACCGTGCCGAAGTGCTTGTCGACGCGCGTGCAGCAGACGACGAGCTGGACGTCCGCGTCGGCCGCGAGCTCCTCGGGCGATCCGTAGGCGCGTGCGTCCACGGGGAGATCGTAGTGCTTGATCGCTTCCAGGGCGGAGTCCTTGGACGAGTTGAGGATTGCGACGATGGTGTAGCGCGATCGCCCGTGTGCAGAGAGCAGATAAGGCAGATGCGCGGATGGGGCCCATGATGTGGGTGCGTTGGCTGAAAGGCCGATGAGTGCTGTGCGGATCGGGGCCATGGTGCTTTTTCTATGTCTGATCACATCGAAAGGGGAGACCGATTATATACTGTAGAGGGTGGCCACATTGAAGCTACTGCTTAGCTTGCTTGCTGACCAGCTTACTGAGAAGAAAAAGCAATGTCCGATTCGGGATTTGAGAGTTCCCCTGTCTGCTGACTGAAAGAGCGCGAAAGACCGTGAGGCCGCTAATTAACACACGTCAAAGTAATATGCATGTGATTAATTCAATTTAGGGTTAGGGTCAGAGCTAATAAGGGACCAAAAAAAATGCGGCCCGCCTAGCCGAGTGGCCGTGGCGGAACAGGAAAATATTGAGACGGTGCATGAGCCGAAGCCCATACAAACCGCAGGCCCACTCTGAATGGACAGGGTCGCCGTGCTATGGAGTGTTCCCACGGCCCAAAAGCCCAGGTCCATGAAGGAGCTTATGCCATCAAGGTAAGTATGCAGAACCAGATGTTGACAGGTGGTATATATACCCCCAGGTGTGCACGGACCAGGTGCCTTCACGCACGTGACTTGATGCAAAATAAACGGCGTTGATTGACCGCCTAATCTCGACCACTTCTCACGAGCCCCGCCCATCTTCAAAGCCTGTGGAGGCACCTCTGTACGATCTAGCAAGTACTGGCAGAGAACCGTAGCCGAATCAATATCATTCACCGTGCTCGGTCTCGTAACATGATTCACTTCTGCGTTGGACCTTGAAAGCTCGACGAGTTGTCGACCTTCACTTCACCGTCTTCCATTTGGGGCCTTGGGCAACAATTTTTGCAACTTGATGCTTACCACTGTTCCTTTCCGTTGCTTACGGGGATTCTCATAATCAGCGAACCCATTTCCCTCTCACTCTAGCATGGCCCCCCACCCGAATCCGCAGTACTATCCCCTCGAGATCAATCCCCTCACGAACGAACCGTTCCTGCGCCTGCAGAAACATCCCAACCTCATCCTCACCCCGACTCGAGCTGAAGATAAACCACGCTGTATCGAGCTTCTGAGCGACGAGAGGATCTACAGTTGGTTCTACAGTCTACCGAACCCCTACCTCCCAGGTACGACCGTTCATCGCACGCGTCCCTGGATTACAATACGTCCACTTATCCGTGACGCGTAGAACATGCTGACTGGTGGTACGACTATTCCAAGTCAATCGCAGACAAGATCTTTGCGCAGCTCGACGCAGCCAAGGACGATCCTGTGCTCAAGATCGTCGACGGATGCCCCGTTCGATGTATCCGCGAGGTCAGGGACGATGGCACGGACTTTTTCCTGGGGGATATCGGCTTCATGTTGGCGCAGCACCCATTCGAGCTGGAGCCTCTGGGCCGCGCGAAAGAAGACACTCCGAGGAGAGATCCCGAACGTCCTGATATCTGGAGTTGTGGAGGTTCGTCCATGACATCCGGTGCATGATTGCCGTCGCCTAGCTAATACGGTCACGATCTAGATTATCTTGCACCTAGCCACCACGGCCAGGGTATCATGTCCGACGCGTTTGGCACGCTCTTGCGGCAATGGGGGATCCCGAGAATGGGGGTGAGGCAGATGGTTGTCTCTACTCATAAGGGCAATCAAGGAAGCGTCAGGGTGTTCGAGAAGAACGGATTCAAGCTCAGAGACACTTATCCTGACGCCATGGTTGTTCGGGGCACCCCGACGAGCGTCCATGTTCTGGACTGGTCTTTGGAGACCGAGTGATGTCGAGGTGGTCTGGTTATGCTGTAAATTACTTGTAGCGGGAAAATAAATCGAGCCTGGATTCGTCTCGCTTCAGACGGACAGATCAGCCGAGATGTACTCACAGGTCGTGAGAAGATCTGACGTAAACATCCCCGCACGATGACATCAAATCTGCACTCACACCCGAACAGCGTTCTCACTGGTCGCAAGTATGGCGGCACGCCGACTCCAGAGTGCGATTTTTACGCGTCTTTCATCCAGTCACACTCACACCTCCCTCCACAGCCGAGATCGACCTGGCCATCAAGAAGGTGGCTGAGCTCGTCGAGTCGTTCGACAACACCTACGACAAGCTGCAGGCAAGCAATAACGCCGCCCAGGTGCGCATCGGCAAGCTTTTCGCGCTCACCCGGCTTGACAAAGTCTCCAGAAAGAGAAGCTCGAGGGCTCGCTGAAGAATCAAATCAAGAAGCTACAGAGGCTGCGCGACCAGATTCGCACATGGGCAGCAAGTAATGAAATCAAGGACAAAGACCGCCTGCTGGAACAGCGCAGGCTTATCGAAGCTGTGTGTCCTGTTCTCCCTCCGTCTTTGCCACCCCGCTCATCTATTGACATAGCAAATGGAGAAGTTCAAGGCGTGCGAGAAGGAGGTCAAGAAGAAGGCATTCTCGAACCTTGCGCTAGGAGAGGCCGTCAAGCTCGATCCAAAGGAGCAGGAAACCATGGAAATGGTCGAATGGCTCGATTCGCAGCTCGAAAAGCTCCAGATGCAGATTGAACAAACGGAGGCAGAGATCGAGTCGGTGAACTCCTCCACGAAGAAGAAAGCCAAGGCCGGGTCGACGACAGCCGAGCGCGTCGAGAAACTGGAAGGGTTCAACGCGCGCCGAAAGCTTCATATCGGGCGCCTCGAGATTGTCTTGCGCATGCTCAACAACGGGACTTTGGAACCGGAGAAGGTGAAAGCGCTCCAGGACGACGTTTCCTACTTTGTTGAGAGCAATGCGGTTCGTATTGTTGTTTGGCTCCGCGGGCTCCTTCGACGTTTGCTGTTAGGAGGAGGACTTCACCGAGAACGATGAGTTGTATGACGACCTAAACCTCGACGAGGAAGAGGAGAAGTATCGTGGCAGTTACGAGGATGCTAACAGCGACGACGAGTCAGAAGCTCCGGTTGAAGGTACGCTGTTTTTTCAAGTTCTGGACGTCTTCTCAGTTGCTTGTTGAGACGTTCCACCATCACGGACCAAGAAGAATAGCGAAGATTCATCAAAACGAGCTGATAGTCCGATTCTCAAGAAAGCCAACGCAACACCAGCAAGAAGTGAGCCGTACCTTGAAGTGTCTAGTCTAGTAACTGACCGTAATAGAACAATCTGACGGTACTAACATTTGCATCAACGCATATGCATCTCATGTCTCGCAGCGAAACCCACACCGAATTTCACCGTGCAACCGATGTCGAGCTTGCTCAAACCGTCAGCCCCTCGGCCACCGGTCCAGTTGCCACCTATACGATATTCGGCTGCGGTACAACAGCAACCACAAGCATCATCAGCACCATCAGCACCACCAGCTACGGCTGCGGCCGCATCCGCACCAACACCAACGGCAGCATCGGTGCCAGCATCAGCACCAGCACCAGCACCAGCAAAATCGAAGTCAGGTCCGCCACCGGCAACACCCTCTGCGTGGTCATCGATACCAGATACGCCGTCGTCACCAAGTATGACGCATCCATCTGTGGCCAGTCCCATGTCGTCTTACGCCTCGGTGTCGCACGGGCCGGAAAGCTCTTTCTACGAGTCGCCGGCGTTGTCGGAGGCTGTGCCAAGTGTCCCTTCCATCGCATCACCGACACGCGTCCTTGGTTTGTCTATTCTGTCTCTGAGTGCGTTCTTCTGTTGACTGAACCACAAAGAACCTCTCCCTGCGCCGTCTCCAGAAGGTGTGCTCGAAGAAAAGCCCCTGGTTGAGAGTCCTGAGGAACGACCTGTCGACATCACTCCTGCTCCTCGGATCCCACCACCAGAAGAAAGAGAGCCAATAGCAGCTGCACCACCGCCACAGGCCATCGGTTCTCAGAGGCCATCGGCGCCTGCGGCTGTCAATCCCGGGTCCTTCCCTGTTGGACTCGCCGATCTTGTCATGCCATTTGAACGAGCTAAGCAACGGGGTACTACTTGTGCCATCTCTTGCATTCTCTTCCACTTAAAGGGTTCCCAGCAACGCAACGATTGGGCGATTTGGATCAACTGAACAAGTATCTGGCAAGCGGGGTGACGAGCATCCCTCAGCCTCAAGACACGCGCAAGTTCGTTACCGTTTATGCATGGTGCAAAAACAAGGATTGAATGGTTTCTAGGACGAAGGCTTATGCACCGCGCAATCCATATCCGACGGCCAGATATTACCCGCAGACACAGCTGCCTCTGCTGGAGGATCCGTCATTGTATTCGCGAATCGACGTCGAAACGTTGTTCTACATCTTCTACTTCTTGCCTGTGTCTTATCCGCAGTATGTTTCTCCGTTCTCTCAACCCGAACACCGCTGATCGTTATCGCGACTTCAGATATCTTGCGGCAGAAGAGCTGAAACGCCAGTCGTGGAGGTTCCACGTCAAGTACCTGACTTGGTTCCAGCGACATTCTGAACCTCAGGCCATCACCGAGGAGTATGAGCAGGGAGTGTATGTTTACTTCGATTGGGAGGGGTCATGGTGTCAAAGGAAGAAGAGCGATTTCCGCTTTGAATATCGCTATTTGGCAGAGGAATAGCCATGTGGACTTGTAGTTCGATTGTGTGTAGTATGTACATCTTGGCGGTCTTGCCGATGCTCAGTATGTATCTTTGTGACACTCGTCAACGATATCTGGGTCAATCCAGGCGGCGCATTGAGAATTAGCCGCGACCCTGATCGCGGCTTTGTTCGGGGAGCTGGCATCACTCCCCCGCATGGGTATTGTATGTCATGTTTATTGAAGAAAGAACGACAGAGATGCAGTCGACATTCTCCAAGAATACAACGAGCGTGCATCGTCCACTCTACCCGCCGTTCCCTCTATTTCAAGTTTTGGTCCTTACGCACCTAGACAAGGTCAATGAAGGGTAAAAAAAGTTGACCGTCATAGACGCACGTACATGGGTTGGGACTACCATCCTCCGATGCACATAATCTACTTCTCCAAGTCCGGGTAAAGCTCCTCCTCTAATGTGATGCCTGCGGACGAAGGGCGTTAAGCCAACGAGGCGGTAACGCCGACACGGAGAAACGCACCCAGCTCCTCCCGGAGGCCCTTGAGCTCATCCAAGTACTCCTGGTACTGCTTCTTGTTCTCCACCTTGACCTTGACTCCGTTGAAGACGCGCACGGCGGTCGCGTAGTTGTCCACCCGGCGCGCGGCGCGGACGGCGGCTTCGACGACGCTCGGCGCAGGCACGAGGTCGTGTGCGAAGCAGTTGTTGAGCCCGCGCTGGACCTCGAAGATGTCCTCAGCCTGGTTGAAGAAGTCGACGTAGCGGTGGTTGAAGGACTCGAACGTCTCCTGCGGGTGGTCGCTGTATGACCGGCTGGAGAGAGTCGCAGGGAGCGCGCGACGGGCGACGGTGGTGCTTCGGCGGGCGACGGATGCGCGCAGCACGGTGGAGAGAATCTGCGAACGCATGACGGGTGGAGGAGGAAAGAATCGGAAGTGAATTTACCCACATCAATGGCGTGCCTAACAGCCGTCAACAACGTCGGGCTAGATTTTACGGTCTCGGACCTGTCTCGCTCTCACCAGCCATGCTATCCTTATCATCTTGACCACTTCCGATAAGTCCCAACGTTGAGACATGGATTGGGTGCTGAAAGCATGCATTGCGTGTGGTGGTATAGTGTTGGTACATCAAACGATATGTATGGCTACATCTATGGATCTATCCCCAAGGATTCGAATCGAATGTCTGACTCTTATTGCTCGGTCCGCGACTATTCGAGATGGACCAGGGGTCGTTCATTGAAGGACCGGCAGCGAGCGAACTCGTGATTCCCCCGTCGGCACCACCAAAGGAAAGGACAGAGTCTGACGCGAAGGGATTGTGCGAGATGTCCGCTTTCGAAGACCCAGCCGCCCATGATGTATATGTTGGAGGAGCTTCGCCGATTTCCGTCTCAGCGTCACTGTCCGAGTCGGGCTCCCTCATGTCGTTCACCGACATCGAGCGGAATGGGACAACGATTTCGGGTTGCGGGGAAGGTGGTCGAATGATTGATGGAGAAGGCAACGGAGGTGTTTGCTGAGGCGGCGGTGCTGATTCAGACCGGTTGGTGGGTGGCGGGATAACTGGAGCTTCGAACTTGTTCGGGGATGGTACCTCCAAATCAGCAGACTCCCTGTTGCCCAACGCTTCCTTGATCGCGGCAAAGTCGAATCCTGCATGAACAGGAATCTTCTCTTCGGCGGGCACCTCTGAACTCTCCCTTGGAGGTAATTCATCAGTATCGTCTGCTGGCGTTGTCTTGGGTTTGGAAAAGGAACTGGCAGTCGGCGGACGAGAAATCGACTCCGTTCGGGGAGTATGATTGTTTTTCTTCGAGCTAGAGAACCACCCTTTCTTTTGATTCTTTTCTTCCTCCCGCTCAACGATCCGGTCCCCCTCGAAATCTGGTTCCTGCCCCAGAATCAAACGACGATTGGGACGACAGAAAAAGGACTCACAACTGGATCATCAAAGAAGTCTGCGAACACCGGGAAACCAAGCTGGTCCAAGATCAGTGGCATGAACGTCCGGTAGCTCATGTGTCCCGCGATCTTATCCGTCACATCTACATTCTCCAAGCCGGGAACGTTCTCAACTGGACGTAGACCAGCCACAGTTCCGACACCTCCACTTGTAGCTCGGAAAAGGTAGTTCAGCACCCAATCGTTGCGGGCAAACGCATTGACGTATCGGCCGGATACTACGGACCGCGTTTCGCACCAAGTGTGAGTGGAGACTGACACCGTCGTCCCTAGGAGGACCACATCCTGGACAACCCCGTATGCCTTGTGCTTGGCCAGTTCGACGAGTGCGTAGAATATCACTCGTGCGCCTAGGGAAAAGCCGACCAACGTGATCGGTCGCACTCCCAGATGTCGCTGGATGAGGACATCGGCGAGCACGCTGCCGGCTGCCCTGGCACGATCGAGTGCGTTGTTCCAGGGATTGTCGATAAGATACCCGAGTTTGGTGAGAACTGAAGGCACGGATCAGCTCGAGTAGTCAATGTATCATGGTCATTTAACCCACTCAGAGGCCATTGCAGTGCGCTCATGAGAGCGGTCATAACAGTTGCTTGGAGCACCGTTTGCCCAAGTTGCGTTAGGACTTCGGTAGTAAGGATTTTGAGCGCACTTCCCGTCTCCTGGATCATTTCTGGCTCCCAGAGCACACTGAATACGTCTCCTACTACAGGATCAAGCACGCTGAAGGGTAATCGCACATCATCGAGCGGGCCAGTGATGAACCTGTACCGGATTTCAGCAATTTATGGAGTAGCAGGAAATGAACAGACCCAGGAACCGTCAGGATGCAGTTGACACGCTTGTTGTTATGCAGCGGAAGGATGTTGAATGTTCTTACTTGTTGTGTCCGATTCATCATTCCTCGAACAGCAATACCAGACCCGGTCAATACGCCTCCGGTTGTGATCATGGCTGCACCTCCAGCACCAGCCAAAAACGTCGTGGTACCAGTGATCCCGACGGTACCCAACGCAGCTCCCAAGCCAAGTCCGATCACAGGAGCAAGTAGACCCGCCGACAATCCGATCACCAGCCCTCCTCCCAATGTCGCTAGTCCGAGCATCACATACCGCTTCTTGCGTGAAGCTTTCTCTCTCCCAGCGATCACATCTTGCTGCTCCATGTTCTCCACATCCTCTTGGATCTCCAGGGCCTCGGTCACACGACTTTCAAACCGCACCACATCGATCCACCCTAATCCCAGCTTCAATGCAGCCTGTTCGAGGAGGACGCGGGAGCGGGCGTCGTAGACACTGTCCGCGATGAGAATCAGAAACAAGTCACACAGAACTGTCCATCGGATGTCCAGTGTCACTTTCTCGTCCGCTGAGGAGAGCGTTGTTGAAACACCGGGGACAGAAGACGTTGTCGTTTCTGCGAGAACTTTGGGGGTAGTTTGGAAGTTGGCCTGGGTTGCGGTGACCGGCGTGGGCGGAACTTCGAATACGACATCCTCCTTCTCTTCGGACGCTTGACGGCGCGCTTCGGCCGGATCGTATTCCGGATTTGCAACGGTGTGCGTTGTCATGAGTGCCGGAACGAGATCCATGGCCTGCACGCCGTGCTGCGCAAGACTCTCGATCATCTTCTGCTCTAATGTCTGGTTAGCATCGTGCTAGGTACAGCAGCGCTGCGCACCTTGTGTCTCCAGCTCCATGTGATAGTATAGTCGGCCCATAATCTTCATTGCCCACAAATCCATATCCTGCACCGCATGCTTGAACTCCTTGCGATTCGGGCGCTTGAGATTCTGCGACATCTCTTGAGTGATGAGCGCACACAATCCGACATATGCGATCCGCTGCGCCTCCGTCAGCAGATTCTTCGTCGCTTGCATCTGGCTGAGTGGCGTCATGGCCTTGTCTTCATCGAACAGGTACTTTGTCCGCATGTGCACTTCGTCGCTCTCGTCCTCGTCGTGCCCGCGCACCCTAGTGTACTCGCTCTCGTTACTGTTGTCTAGTTTTGACCTCCATTCGTTCCCGCTGTCGTCAAAGTCGATGAGATTTCCGGTGGCGTTGACGGAGCTCGATGGTTTCGCCGAGGGCATGTAGTGAGTGGTATTTCTTCTGATCCTCCTCATCCAATTCCGTAGCGTCAGTGTCTTCTCGGATAACGGGCATATCCTCCCATCCATCCTCGTCGTCATCGTCAAAGTCGAATGGGTCAATGGGTGCGATGGCAGGTACAGACATCCGCGGTCGGTGGACTGTGATGAGGCCAGACGAGAGCAATCGCAGCACTGACAAATGCGATCAGATCCGGTCCGGTGGCCCTTTTCTTGTTTGCCTGCCACTGCACCACGCGCGGGATGGGGTATATCGCGAAGGATGCCCTCGAAAACCTGCGGAAGTACGCGTACAAAGGCGTTGACAAGTGCGTAAACTTCTCCCCAGCCGTATGTTGCCCGCCCACAACGAGTTCAGGTCGCTTTTGTCACAGTACGTTCTGAATCCGTTTTGGACCTGGTTCGTCACCCTATGGCCTCTATCCGTCGCACCCAACACTGCAAGTTCGTTTTCCCGTCTTTCTAAAACCGATTAACGAGGGGCACTCAGATCACTCTGTCGGGACTTTCACTTGTATTCATCAATTTTGCGACCGTGCTGTATTTTGATCCATTGTATCTGACGGAGAAGGACGGGGTGTATCTTCCGCGATGGGTGTACTTCTCGTGCGTCTTATTATTCCTTCTGCCGCACTTCGCGATATGCTGAGCAACCGAGTGCAGCTGTGCCATCGGGCTGTTTCTGTATCAGACTTTCGACGCCATTGATGGAAAGCAGGCTCGGAGGACGGGGATGGCGGGGCCTTTGGGCGAGATGTTCGACCATGGTGCGCATGCTTGCTTCCAACATATTGCCTCGGGACTGACTGTGGCCAGGCTGTGACGCCATGAACACGACTGTGAGCAGACCCCCTTCCATCTCTGCCCACTCAAATCTGTCTTCTAGTTGGAAGCCATCTTGACTTGTCAAGCTCTCAACTTGGGTCGCTCTTGGTGGACTGTCGCTTCGCAGATGGCGACGCTCGCCAATTTCTATCTCACAACCTGGGAAGAGTACCACACCGGTGCGTTCGACCGACGTTATACTATCCAGATGAATTGACCGCGCACAGGCCAGCTATATCTGGGCGTGTTCTCTGGACCTGTTGAAGGCATCCTGATGATCGTCGTCATCTTTCTTATCAGCGGGACGTTCGGTGCGTTGTTTGCGTCTTGAAGTCGGGGTGCGTTTCGATTGAACTGAGTGATTTCAGGCCCCGCCGTCTGGGACCAGGGGCTGCTCACTGTCCTACGTCTTCAAGACTTGCCGCAGCTCAAAGGGGTACCCAACCTACCGCTCAACGAGGCATTCATGGTCTTCGGCGCTGTGGGTCTGATTTTCAATATTCTGACGAGGTGAGCAACCTCAGCATGATCCCCTACATGCTCTCACTCCTCCGAAAGCTACGGCAATGTACACCAGGCGATGAAAGAAAAGAAGCAGTCGACCTTCCGAGCTCTGCTGCGTCTCTTTCCTTTCGTTATCTCTGCCGGCATCCAAGTATTCTGGCTCTCCCATCCCCGCTCGGATCGCTCTGCTATCATCAACTCTCCGCTCTTTGTTCCGTTCTTGTGCGCCTGGGGACTCCAATTTGCGCACCAAGTCGGGAAGATGATCCTCGCACATGTGACCAAGACGGACTTTCCTGCGTGGGACTGGATCTGGGTCTGGAGCTTTGCTGCGGCCGTCGATGCCAATTTGCCTCGACTCATCGGACGGTAAGTCCTCATTCTATCTCCACTTGCTCGCGTCTCATATCTCACCATCCCCAGCCCCCCGCTGCTGCAAACGTCCCCGAAAAACACCGCATACGCAGTGTGGCTCACGCTAGCCATCTCCTTCATCGCGTATGCGCGCTTCTGCACGCTGGTTATTTACGACATCACGAACTTCATGGGGATCGCCTGCTTCACTGTGCGCAAAAAGGACGAGGACGGGGTGTGGCAGGATACCGTGCCTGGCCACACCTCTCCGGCGAAGAAGAAGGCATGAGCGAACGCGAACGCGACACAAGCTGCTTGCATATTCGTAGGTAATAACGAATCATTAATGTAGATGACTGGGGCACTGGCATTTCTCGTGTGGCACCAGGTAGAGTAGACACGATCACATGATGTCACACATTTCTCATGCCACCGTCCCTTCGCTTGAATGACCAAGTGCGTGGCCCGAGTTGCTGGTTTCCCTCGTCCTCTAAAAGTTCGGGATCATGAAGTTTCACGCTAGCATGAATGGTCATGTCTTTGGGTCCCGGCGTGTCCACCCTGGGCTCTAGGACAAAAGCTGTTCTCGTTCACAAGTCCTTTCTCTCATTGGAACCCCCAGGCGATTCGGGTTCTGGGCGCTCCCAAGCTTCACCTGAGATGGTCAATTATAGGTTTCCGTACTGGCCCAGACGTTTACTACGCGTCAGATTTGTGTTCTAGTATCATCTCCGCAGCGTCGAGATATCTTGGACTGTGGCCGACCTGATCTTTGGACACTTGGTTTGCAATACCGTCTGAAATGGTTTCAAGAGATGGAACTGAATTTGCACGTATTCTCAACATCTTCGTCTCCGCCTGCTAGAGAGGGAATGCTCGACCAAAGTGGCAATCGTTGGAATATCATAAGGCAGAGTAGACTGCATCTCAGCCGCTATGCAACCGGCCCTCGCGCGCAATTATGCATGACTCAACGATTTGACAACGGACAAATTGTTTCTGGATAGTCCATTGAGGACCTTGGAGGAAGCCGCCGTGGTTAAAAGGAAGAAAAGTTCCAATGGTGCACTGCAGGCTCACGGGTCGAAGGCAACTAGAATTTAGGCGCACGGCAGGTTATGCATCTATTTCGTCTCGCAATTCTCGTGATCACTCTAGCGTCCAGTCCAGGACGTGTACGCTAGTCAGGATGCCTCGTACGACCAGCGCATCCGAATAGGTGTCTCTGAGCTTGAAACCGTTCTTTTCAAACACCCGGACACTTCCCTGGTTACCCTTGGAGGCCGAGACGACCATCTGCTTGACACCCATCCTCGGGATCCCCCATTTCCGCAATACCGTGCCAAACGCGTCGGACATGATGCCCCTGCCGTGGTGACTTGGCGCAAGATAATCTGGAAGACGTTGTTGGGCCGCATGGTCACTGGGGCAGTCCGGCACGTACCGCCGCAACTCCAGACATCGGGTCGTTCGGGATCTCTCCTCGGAGCGTCCTGCTTCGTGCGGCCTAGAGGCTCCAGCTCGAATGTCTGGTACGACAACATGAAGCCTATGTCCCCCAGGAACACGTCCGTCCCGTCTTCCCTCACCTCGCGGATGCTGCGCACGGGGCATCCGTCAACAGTTTTGAGCTCCGTGTCATCTTTGGCTGCTTCAAGTTGCGCTAAGATGTCGTCCGCGGAGGATTTCGTGGTCTGCAGCCATCCGTGGGCGTGCTCTGCGCGGATTGGACGGTGAGTGAGAGAAAGCATCATGATCTCTATGCGGTCTTACCGGGAAGATATGGGTGCGGAGGACTGCACAACCAGCCGTACACCCTCTTGTCGGACAGAAGCTCGACTACACGTGGGGCATCTTCTGGTCGCGTTGGGGTGATGATGATGTTGGGATGGCTCTCCAGACGCAGAAACGGTTCGCCAGTGGTAGGGTTGATTTCCATGGGATGGAATTGGGGGTTGGGATGGGGTGCCATTTGGATGCGGTGGAAGAAGGAGAAGCGCTGGCGAGTTAAATACACTCCTTATCCGTTATGACTCACGCCTGTACAGGAACGGGAGACGATAGAGGATCATCATCTCGAAAGCTGATTTGCGCGAACCACCGGGGTGATATACATATAAAGTGATGCATTCTCTGCTGGGAGACAGAAACTAATCATGACGCCAAAGCTCCATCCCCCAGAGACCGTAGATGAGATCCTAAACGGCAAGAGTTGTTCTGACTGCGTGACAGCAATGTGCGTGACAAGAATTAGTGAGATCCGTTTTGATGAAATTGCCCTGTCCAGACTCCAGACCAACATCTCCTTCCCATCTGAATGAGGCCTGTCCCACTCCACTTTGATCTTGCTGCTCACTAAGCACGACTATGGATTTCAAATCCCGCCACAGGGATATGTTTACCACTCAGTAAGCAGAAACGTCTTCCAAGAATGCGGACCCGCCGCCGTGTACATACTATTGTTCGCAATTGACAGGTGTTTCTGCACCATAGAGGTGTTTTCGGTCTGTAGAGCCGGCCAATGCATGTATTGCCTTCGGTTTTTTTCAGAATGAATCCTTATATACTCTGAAATGTCTGTGCAAAGTACGAGAGCGATCGGGCCAGTGCGAAGAATTGCTCGACGCTGCCGGCGCATCAAATGAGGTGATCTCAAGCTCATCTCCATAATTCTGAGCTTCCCGTTGGTCGTTTTAGGTCGGGTAAAGACTAGCCATGTATTATTGAGTATCTTAATCATATTCAAAATGTCCCTCGCCGTTCCGGGCTTGCAATCGATGTGAGCGAAAGGAATTACAAGTGTGGTCACAATTGTCACGCTGACACAGTGATGACAGTGTGATGGCCGGACCGGGATTTCATCTTGTGCTCCTTGAGTTGCGTCGACACTCACAGAAGAAAGAATATAACTTCAAATTAGATACATTACATGTATTCATGACATGTTGGAGGTGCTAGATCCAGGTGGAAAGGCCCTGGGGCCATTGGTAGGTAGATAAATATATACAGTAGCTGTGATGTATAATGTGAATCTCAAGTCCAATGGGAACTAGACGCGTATGCATGAGGCGGGAGAGAAAGTCGAAAGGAGATTTGAAACCAATCCATGAGGCAACATAGCTGCTGGGGAACCCTGTCAATCAACGCATTTGATGCGCGGAGCTTGAAATGTCACGCTTTGGCTGATCACCCTTGGCTCACACACATCGCAAGCCCGGAACAGCGAGGAACATTTTGAATACGATTAAGATACTCAATAATACATGGCTAGTCTTTACCCGACCTAAAACGACCAACGGGAAGCTCAGAATTATGGAGATGAGCTTGAGATCACCTCATTTGATGCGCCGGCAGCGTCGAGCAATTCTTCGCACTGGCCCGATCGCTCTCGTACTTTGCACAGACATTTCAGAGTATATAAGGATTCATTCTGAAAAAAACCGAAGGCAATACATGCATTGGCCGGCTCTACAGACCGAAAACACCTCTATGGTGCAGAAACACCTGTCAATTGCGAACAATAGTAAACCTGGTACATCCTCGGATGTCGACATCTGAAGTTCGCACAAGATGTCCCCCATTCGCACTGTTCTCATCGGATTATCTGCCAACGCGGCCACATCCTGGGCCTCCTCTGCACACATCCCATACCTCCTTTCCGCCCACGGACGATCCCGCTACACCATCATCGGACTGCTCAACTCGTCCACAGAATCCACCCTCGCCGCGATCAAGAACTTCAATCTGCCCGCTGAGACACGTGCCTACGCTTCGCCCGAGGAAGTCGCCGCCGACCCGGTCGTTCAGCTTGTCGTCTGCTGCACGCGCGTCGACAAGCACTTTGAGACCGTGTTCCCGTCTGTCAAAGCCGGAAAGGACGTGTTCGTTGAGTGGCCGCTGGCAGAGAATGCGGGACGCGCGAGAGAGTTGGCGGATGCAGCAAAGCGCGCTGGAGGGCGGACGATGATTGCGCTGCAAGGTCGCGTCGGCCCGCTGACGCACGAGCTGAAGCGGGTGATTGAGGACGGACGCATCGGGAAGGTCCTCGGCTCCGCCGTGCGCATGTCAGGCCCACTGCCTGAGCGCGATGTCCTGCCCAGCTCGCTCGAGTATTTCCTGCACAGGTCGATCGGCGGGAATATGCTCACTATTACTGCTGCCGGGCATGGTACGTCCGTTTCTTCTTGCGTCCCGACAACCGTTGAACGATGCATATTTCAGGATTCGATCTGTTCCAAACCGTTCTTGGAGAAGCCGTCGATGTCACCTCCCACCTCCAGCTCCAGCGGCCAGTGAACCGCCTACGCGATGTATCGACCGGCGCGATCACTGGTACCTCGAAATCAGACGTCCCGGATCTGATGATCCTCACAGCCCGTCTGACCGAATCGCCGTCCGTCGTCCACGATGCGTCTTTCTTGTTCCATTTCCGCCGCGACACTCAGTTCCCAGGAGAGCCCAACCTCGTCTGGACGATCACGGGTGAGCGGGGCGAGATCCGGGTGACGAACGAGGCGACGTCGTGGCTGCACATGGGTCCCGCGGGCATCACGGTCGATTTGCACGACTTTGAGACGGGCAGGGTCGAGCGGGTTGGTTGGAACGCGGAGAGTTGGCCTGAGGATCCGGATACGCCTGGCGCAGCGAAGAACATCGGGTTGTTGTATGAACGGTTTGCGACGGGAGGCGAGTATCCGACGTGGGAGGACGCTGTGAGGAGGCACGAGCAGATTGACGGACTGCTGGCTGGATGGGTCGCCGAAGCTTGAGATCAAATGCAATGTATACGAGGGTCAAAGTAGAACTGAAGATCTTTGCGAAAGGTTTCCGAAATCTCGCCTCATCGTCAATGAAAACATTCAAGGGGTGAAAATTACGACTGTAAGTGTTGGTTTCAGCTCGCAAGATCAGCCTTATCATATGGAGGTGTAGACTGGAGATCGACAAAATTAAGGTAGGAAAATACCGACTTGATATAGCGGCCTTCAGCTCCTGCCTCGCTAACTTCGACCTCGATGACCATTTTTGTCGTTCTACCTGATTACCTTCGAAACACGTTCTTAGTAAGTTATGTTTCGCTATATTTCCAGCAAAGCCTTTTCTTTCAGGATTACAATACACGGGACGGAGACTCTATATAGTTTCAACTAATGAAAGACGGAATTTCTTAGATGTCCCAGGACTTGAGCTGACTTTGTGTGGACAATCCTTTGCGCGCCAAATTACTGGGCAGCCTGGAAGCTCTCCCTTGTGATATGAAGGACCGGGACCCTTTAAAACGCATTCGATAGGACTTAGAGCTGTTCATCGGATCTTACCTAGAGACTTACGAAAATTTGACTCGAAACAACCAAGAAACGCCGACGCGCTCCTGGCAGTCTAAATCGAGTCATCGCATCCCGCGTATCATAGTGTCACCTGACCGTTTTCCTTGGCCACTGCCAGCGCCGCGTTACACGCTCGCTACACTCCTTCCCAGACTTTACCAGGACCATTACTTGAGCTTACTTGGCGTTCATTCCAGGGCCCATCGCGTATATCTCTCAAAACATTGGTATAAAGCGCAAAGAGAAGATCTTGTCACTGCCACGTTCCCCAGGTCCCCAAAACGGAATAGATGGCTCTCCGACTCAAATCTTCCCTCTTACGACCATCTAGTCGCCTCCCAACGAATCTCTCATCACGACTCCCCGGCAGCATGAAGCCTCTTACACTCGACGCACTGAATGCGCAGCTCCAGACCGTGCAGTATGCCGTGCGCGGTGAACTTGCCATCAAGGCGGAGGAGTACCGCGACAAGCTGCGCCAGGGGGACAGCAGCCTGCCCTTCGATAAGGTGATCTCGTCCAACATCGGCAACCCGCAACAGAAGGGGCTTGACCAGCCTCCCATCACGTTCACCCGCCAGGTAAGCATCGTCCCCACACCGATCGAGTGAGGACGCCGAGTAGACATGTCAGGTTGCTGCATTGACGGAGTGGCCGGCGTTGGCGGAGCTGGCGCCCGGTGTGTTCCCTTCGGATGTCGTCGCGCGTGCGAAGGAGCTGGCTGAGGAGATCGGATCCATCGGGGCCTACTCGCACAGTCAAGGTGTGCCCTTCATCCGCAAGGGCGTCGCGGAATTCATCGCTGGTGCGCACCGTCCATCGAGCGATCGATGCATGTTCTCATCCACTCTTCAGCTCGTGATGGATACCCTGCTGTTGCGAACGACATCTTCCTCACTGCAGGTGCCTCCGTCGGCGTCTCGCTGCTCATTAACATGCTCATCACATCCCCCGAATCTGGTATCCTCATCCCTATCCCCCAGTATCCGTTATATACTGCTGCCCTGGCCCAGCACCATGGTCGACCGATCCCTTACCTTCTTGACGAGTCATCAGACTGGTCTACTTCTGTGGAATCGATCGAGACCGCATTAGCCGAGGCTCGAAGCCAAGGGACGACTCCCAAGGCCCTCGTGATCATCAACCCGGGGAACCCCACCGGGGCTTTGCTGACTGCCGACACGATGAAGGCATTGGTGAAGCTTTGCGAAGAACACTCGCTCGTGCTGCTTGCGGATGAGGTGTACCAGAACAACCTGCACCGCGCGGCCGAGTACCCGTTCACATCCTTCAAAAAGATCGTGCGGGAGCTGCAGTCTCCCGTCCCCCTTGTTTCGTTCCACTCCATCTCCAAGGGCGTGTCCGGCGAGTGCGGTCGCCGCGGCGGGTACTTCGAGCTCACGAACATCGCTCCCGAGGTCCATGCGCTGGTCTACAAACTCGTGTCCGTCGGCCTCTGCCCGCCGCTGTCTGGGCAGATCGGCGTCGACAGCATGGTGCGCCCGCCAAAGGAGGGCGAGCCCAGTTACGCCCTGTGGAAGAAGGAGACGGACACCATCCATGCGGCGTTGGCTGAGCGCACGCGGATCATGGCTCAGCGACTCAATGCGCTCCCCGGCGCGTCCTGCGTGGAGAGTCCCGGAGCGCTTTATCTCTTCCCCAAAATTGACATCCCGCCCAAGGCCGTCGAAGCGGCCAAGGCGGCTGGCAAGGAGCCTGATGCTTTCTATGCATTGGCCTTGCTGGATGCGACGGGCATCTGTGTCGTTCCAGGGAGCGGCTTCGGCCAAAAAGAGGGCGAGTGGCATTACCGCCTGACGTGCCTGTGTCCTGGTGTGGAGGAGTACGTGGGCAAATTGGAGCAATTCCACCTTGCATTCCTGAAGAAGTACGAATAGAAGATCTACGTTGGTGCTGTATCTAGTTTCGAAGTACTTGAATGGAGTTATCACCTGGAAGGGAAATCAGTGTCAAAGGCGTTCAGGCATACACTCGACGAGACGATGTCCGACAAAGTCCGATTTCTAGCGCATTAACATGGCGATAAGCACAGGGTCCTGACAGGGAAGACGGCATCTGGCCCGTGCGAGGCCGCGCATGTCAACTTATCTAATCTGATCCCGAGCCTACGCGATTCTCCGCGGTTGCTGACGAGGCTTGCCGCCCATCATCTGCCGGATCAGCGTCATTTTTGGTCGCACTCATGGATATCCTCTTGTTTCCAGCCCCCCGTCTGGCATGCATCTCTTCTGGAGGCAGTTGTTGGCGCTCATCTGGAAGAACTGGATCGTGCTCTGGAAACACCCATTCGTGCGTCCTTGCTCTCCACGTGCTCCCACATCTCACTCTCAAATTGTTACAGCTGAACGTTCTGCGCTGTTTCCTCTTCCCGGTCGCGTACGGAATCTTCCTGGCCGTTGCGAAACAGTTTCTTCTCAAGCCTAATAATGTGAGTCCGGATATTCACACCCTGCGTCGTCCTGTTCACGATGGATCCAGTATGGGCTCGGCACACTCACTCCCGTCTACACGCTGGAATCTCGATTCGTGAATGCAGGGACTCTGGTGTGGGCTGATGCAACGGACGGAACGGCGCAGCCCTCTCCCAGCGATATCATGAGCCACATCACGTCGGGGTTCACCGACAGCCAGCGCCGCGCGGTGAAGCAAGCATCCTCCGCCGCCGAGCTCCCGTTTTCTTGTCCACAGAACTTCAACGGCTTCTCGGAGTGCTATGCCGCGGTTGTGTTCAACGACATCCCTGCGGACGCGACGCGACCCGTGAACTACACGATCTTCTCCGACTCCGGGCTGTTCCACATCGATGTCCAGCGCCATTCGAGCGACTTCGAGACGCGGGTGTTACCGCTGCAGTGGGCGGTCGATCAGGTGCGCGCAGCAGCTGCCTCTTGTCTCCGCTGTTGTCGGGGGGTGGGTGCATCACGTCTCACGCCTGGCAGGCTATCATCGAGCTGCGGACCGGCGTGACAGTGCCGGCGCCATTAGAATGGCCGTTCAATAACGAGACGAACGAGGAGCAGGACAAGAGAACGCGGCTGAGCTTCATTCGCGGGATCCGGGAGCTGCTTGTCATTGCCTTGTGCGTACCAGCCGTCTTTGCATCCTGCGCGATAGACTCAAACAACCGCATCTCTCTACAGCTTTATATGCTTTATTGGCATATCTTATCAACTGCCTGGGGCCGTCGCCGGGGAGCGGGCAAACCAGGTGACGGCGCACATGAAAGCGATGGGGCTGCTCGATTCGGCGCGGGTCACGGCGTGGCATCTGAGCGTCAGCCTCGTCTACCTCCCCGCTTGGATCATCGTCGCCCTGGTGTGGCGCGCACAGATCTGGGTCGTGACGAATGTCCTGCTGATCCTCGTGGTGCACCTGCTTCTTGGCTTGACGCTCGCGAGCTGGTCGTTCTTCCTCGCAGCGCCGTTCGGCAAGAGCCCCCAGTTGGCTGCGGTGTGCTCGACGTTCTTGTCGATCCTCTTTGCGATTCTGGCGCTCGTGCTCAAGCAAGGTCTGTCGTTTGTTTATCAGTGACTCCCAGCTGACACACGGTCCGCAGTCAGCACTGGCGGCGCATTCATCTTCACAATCATCTTCCCGCCTGGTTTCTACATCTTTGCCAATCGCGCCATCAGCGGGTTCGAGAATCTCAGTCTCCCTACAAATGCACTCAAGGGAGATCCCGACCATAACCTTGTCTTGCTCCCGATCTTGATCGCCGGTCTCGTACGTTTTCACGGTAAAGGTCACTGCTACCTTTTGACGGATTTGGGTGATAGATCGATGTCTTCCTGTGGCCTTACCTCGCCATCCTACTCGAGCGACGACTCTATGACGCCCGCGACCCCTCTTCCAGCTGGCGTTGCTGGGGTCGCAGGAAACGCCAGACTCTAACCATCGCGGACGGTGTCGCGATTTCCGTTCAGAACTTGGGCAAGACATTCAAGACGTCCATGTTCAAGCGCAAAGGCGGCAACGTCACGGCAGTCGAGGACCTCTCTTTCGATGTTCCGAAGCACGGGATCTTCGTCCTGCTGGGCTCCAATGGGTGCGTTGCCTGACCGCATTTTGTTTCCGATCGCTCACGACTCTGTGCAGCGCTGGAAAATCGACATCTCTGTCGGTCATCGGCGGGCTTACAGGTCGCACGAGCGGACAGGTCGTTTACGAGGGGGGCTTGGACCGGCCGCCGCGCGGGAAGCTCAGCATCGTGCCGCAGAAGAACGTGCTCATCCCCGAGTTGACGTGCCTGCAGACGCTCAGGGTGTGGCGGGCCGTCAAATGGTCGAAGGCCGCGTCGGCGGACGAGGATCTGGAGCAGCTGCTGAGGGATTGTGACTTGGAGCACAAGATCCATGCGCAGGCAAGGACGCTGTCGGGGGGACAGAAACGGAAGCTGCAGCTTGCTATTGGTTTGGTTGCAGGATCTGAAGGTGCGTGGCGCATTGCATGAAGTTTCATCGTTCTGTGCTCACATCTGCGCAGTGGTTCTTGTCGACGAAGTGAGTATCTGAGATACACGATCTTTCAAATGTCGTTCATGCTGTCTGTCAGTGCACATCCGGTGTCGATCCATTATCACGGCGAGCCCTTTGGCGAACTCTCATATCAGTTCGACAAGAACGCACCATCGTCTTCACGACTCATTTCCTCGACGAAGCGGACTTGCTGGCCGACAACATTGCCATTCTTGCTGCGCCTGGTAAATTGGTCGCGGCTGGGTCTCCTGTCGCTCTCAAGCGCGATCTGGGGCAAGGCTACAGCGTCCAGGTTTCGCTAGCGGCGGACAGCGACGCATCTACCGAGCTGCTGCATCGGATCCGGACTGTCGCGCCGCAGGCTCACATGTCTCTCGCATCTATCCACCAGCCACTTTATCATCTCAGAGCCAAGGACAGCCAGGTCGTCGATCGGGTGCTGCAACTGGTGGACTCGGAGGGCGGCAACTACGGCGTCACGTCGTATGACGTGCTGGGAACTTCCATCGAGGATATCTTCCTGGACCTGATGCAGAAAGATCAGCAGACACAGCATGTTCCAGCCGACATGGAGAAGAGTTTGACTCCCAGCGCCGACTCCGTCGATGAGCCGCGGCCGCTGGACGAGCGCAAACTCGAGCTCTCGGCGGCGGCTCGAGTCTCTTCGCCGTGGGAGCAGGCCCTGACCATCTTCTACAAACGCTGGATCATCTTCCGTCGCAGCTGGCTGACGCCCTTCCTCGCTGTGGTGATCGCCATCGCAGGGTCGGCAATCCCCCTGGTCTTCATCTCCGGGCGGTCGAACTCCTGCGCAAAGACGGTCGATCTGCCCGGGACGAACGACCTCCTGTTCCCGGCCACCTCGCCGCTGCTCGCGTTCTACCAGGGCATCAACTCGACGGTGCTCGTCTCGCCGCCCGGCGCCACGGTCGTCCTGGGCAACCTCACGAGCCTGAGTGCCGCGACGCTCAGCAACATAACGGCTGCGGTCAACTTCACCGCCGCGGACCTGGGCAACAGCAGCGTCCTGCAGCCGATCACGACGCGCGATCTCGCGGACAACGCGACGTTTGTCAGCACCATCCAGCGGGAGTACCGCAACCTCACGGCGGGCGGCGTGTCGTTTGACTTTGCGACGGGGCAGAGCGTTGTGGCGTGGGAGGCCAGTCCGCCGGGACTGATGGGCCCGAGCATGCTCTCGCTGGCCAGTAATGTGCTGTTCAATCACGCGCTGAATGTGTCTGGGCTGTCCCGCGGATTCCCGGCGCTGATCCTGCCCACGTACGAGTCCTTCCCTCCGGTAAATGGTGAGTTTGCACATTTTCGTGTGTTTGTTTGCTTGCTCAGTGTTATTCAGCGGGGACGCTGTTTGCGCTCAAATGGATCGCGTTCTATGGTGCAGTGATGGTGAGCCGATCCGTACCCTGTTTCCTCTGCTCGAGTCTCATTCGATCCCAGTCCGTGTTCCCTGCGTTCTTCGCGCTGTATGTGTCGAAGGAGCGGCGCTCGTCGGTGCAGGCCATGCAGTTCAGCAACGGACTGCACAACCCAGTCGGTCTGTGGCTCGGGCACCTCCTGTTCGACTCGATCTTCACGATCCTCATGTCCACGATCGTGATCATCATCTTCGCGGCGGCGTCGACCCAGTTCCACGGCCTGGGCTTCCTGGTTAGTCCCTCTGTGCGATCCACAGCGAGCCTTTTCTGACTGATCCCTGACCCGCAGTGGCTCGTCATGGTGTTGTACGGAGTGGCCGGGACGTTGTTTTCGTACTGCGTGTCGCTGCTGGTCGCCTCTCCGCTGGCTGCGTTTGCGACGGTGGCGGGGTATCAGATCGTCATGTTCCTGCTCTACATCGCGGGCTATCTCCTGGTCCTCACGTGAGCCTGCCCTGCGTTGCCGTGGGATGGAGAGGCTGAGAGATCTCCAGATATGCAAAGACGTCGGATGCCAATGGCGAGATCACGATCATCAACTTTACGCTGTCGATCTTGTCTCCGGTGGCCAGCGTGGTGAGACTGCATACCTCGCTCGGGTAGGTTTCTTCTGACCCCATGTCATGACAGACTCGCGCAGCCTTGGTCTCGGTCAACCTGTTCTCTCTGCTGTGCGATGGGTCGTCCACCAAGTTGACCTCGTCCTGGATGGGCTCAATCATGCGCTACGGCGGACCGATTGCGTATCTCATCGTCTACTCCCTCGTCCTGTTTGCCATTCTCGTCTGGGCGGACTCGGGGTCGCTGCTGCCTCGCAAACACCGCGCGCTTGCACAAACACAATCCCATGATACGAAGCCGGACGTCGCGGAGGAGGCACGCACCGCTGCGCAGTCGGACGACCTGCTGCGCGTGCTGAACGTCTCGAAGCGGTTCGGAGCGAATACGGTGGTGGACGACGTGAGCTTTGGGGTGTCAAGGGACACGATCTTCTGTATGCTCGGGCCGAACGGCGCGGGGAAGACGACAACGTACAATGTCATTCGTGAGTGACTGTTTTTGTTTAGTGACTTGCTCGGGCTAACGACGGGCAGGGGGTGATGTTATACCAGAAGCAGGAGATGTGTTAATCCAGGGTACCTCGGTCGTGAACCACCCGCAGTCAGCGCGTGTGTCGCTGGGTGTGTGTCCCCAGTTCTCGGCCATCGATGCACAGCTGTCGGTCAGGGAGCACCTCATCATATATGGCCGATTGAAGGGCTTGAGGGGCGGCGATCTGTCGTCGAGCGTCGAGGCGCTGCTGTCCGCGACGGGGCTGGCGATCTACGCCGACCGGCTCGCAAGCAAGCTCTCGGGCGGGAACCAGCGCAAGCTGTCGCTGGCCATCGCACTGGTGGGCAACCCGTCGGTGGTGCTGATCGACGAGTTCTCGACGGGGATCGACGCGAAGATGAAGCGCGAGATGTGGCAGACGCTGCGCGGCGTCGCGGTGGGCAAGGCGGTGATCATCACGACGCACTCGATGGAGGAGGCCGCCGCGCTCGCGTCCAAGGTCGGCATCCTTGCCGTGCGGCTCCTCGCGGTCGGCGCGCCCGCGGCGCTGTCCGCGCGCTACGCCGCGTACCAGGTGCACTTTGCGTGCCGCACGCCGGCCGAGGTCGGCCGCGCGCAGGCGCTCATGGCGACGATCCCCGGCGCGCGGATGGCGGACGACGTCGCGACGCGCTTCGAGGTGCCTGTGGGGCGCGAGCAGTTATCCCTCGCGCAGCTGTTCCACGCGCTGGCGGCGCACGGCGACGGGTTCTCGGAGTACACGGTCGAGAAGGCGACGCTCGAGAATGTGTTCCTGAAGGTCATCAGGGAGAATAATGTGGAAGAGGAGGGACACCGGAGTCGTTCGAGGAGGAGGTGGTGGTGGCCGTTTTAAACGCGTGCTTATTGCGGTTCGTATCTAGTGGGCTATGTATATATATAATGCAGATCGAGCCTGTGATTGGGGGATACTGCGTAGTTGATCCATTGGAACAAACGCGTCGTTTGCCTATATAGAATTTGGTGCAGCTCGGTCGAGCGGACGACAGATCTTTGGGATGCAAGATGATATTGAATTTACGTACCACGAGGGTATTTCCCGGATGCAGACACCGGGGAATCGAGGATTGGTGGCCAGTCCTCGAGCCACTTCGTTCGAATGACTGGAATGTACGCAGGGAGGAGAACGGTCATGTGATCCAATTGAAAACCTTGATCACCACCCCGCGAGCAACTTCTGCGACAACGACGAACCCAAGTGTGCACCCGCGCATGATCTCAACAGCTGATTGGGATTGGTCACACACCCACTCGAGGCTGGCGATTGGCCGCCGCTGCAGGTGAAACAGTGATCGCACAAGAGCATCAAACAGAGATATCTATCTGCTCATCAGCGGGGCCGTATCCCAAACATACTTATAGCACATCATCATCGTGTGCGCGGCCAATCCACTGCCCTGCCCTCCCGGAAGCTCGGAGGGAGCCCTATGAACGGTTGCGAGGACGCGTATTGACTGTTGGCAGGAACCGGACGCTCTCTCATTTGCCCTGCCATTCGACGCCCTGCTGATTACCGGCGGGCTGGCTGACCGGGCACGCAGTCCTGCGTTTCTCTCTTGACTACCTAGTACCTGCCTACCCACCCACCCACCTGCCTACCTACCCACTCCGCCTCCCCCTCCCTCTCCGCCCACCCGCGATCGCGTAGATACACCGCATCCCACATCCCACACACCCCCACCGCACGCGCGAGAGGAGAGACCAGTTCTGTGCCATGGGCTGCATCCCGAGCAAATCGAAGGTCCTCGAAGCCGACGGCGCAGACGCCCTAGCCGCACCGCCTGGCCACACGGCTGAGAAGAAGAATGCAGAGCCCAAGACCAAGACCAAGACCAAGACGCCGAAAGCGAAGCGCGGGCCCCCGTCGCCGGTGCTGACGGGCGAGCAGCCGCCGTGGCTGCAGGCCCGGCCGAAGATCGTCATCGAGACGGACGGGGGCGTGCGCTACGTCGATGTCGAGGAGCAGGAGAAGGCGTAGGTAGTCAGCCAGTGGTGTTGGGTTGTGTGGGTTTGAGGCGCCGTCGCTCAGCTCGAGACCCAGCAGCTGCAAGCCTTGTTTGTCGGGGGACACTCGATACTCGGGGTCTCAGCCAGATGCTGTCGTGTATATTTTTGTGCCAGTGCGTAGTTTATTTCCCAGGCGCCAGCTTGCTGTACCTGTAAATCCATTCCTTTGTTATATGAATAGTCCCAAATACGTTCCTACCCTTCTCTCGACGCCAACCGCTGTGTGCGATGTGGTGGAGTAGGAGCACGGGGGCGGAGCGGATCAGTGTAGTCACACAGTAGTCACATGAGTCACATTCATCCACGCTTGACCACGACCTTCAAGAGTCCCCACTCCGTCTGGTGACAAGAGCGAGATCGACAAAGTGGCAGATGACAGAGGAAGGAAGAACGGACAGGAAAAAGAAGTGCAGCAGAGAGACAGCAGAGGTCGCTTTGCAAGCAGACAAGAGAACACAGAGGAACAAGACACACCAAGCACACCCACAACACTCTGTAGTAGCGGTTATAACACACTGTTTGAACTTATTTCGAGGGCGACAACACCAGCACCAGACACAGATGCACTACTGGCATTCACAAGTGCCAATACCCCAACTACACCAGCATCATGCAATCTAACCTCACAGCCGATAACTGAGCCGTAGCGACCACAACAGCAGCTCAAAATAATGTACCATTCCCCACCAATGTGACACAAATGCAATGCTGACATACTTAGGAGACCCTGGCAAAGACAACCTCACTGCTGAGGACTTTGCGCAACTGGTAGCAAGACAGATGAGGGGCCACCCCAGGGAGCTCCAATTCATTATGTAAAAGTGCTTCCAGGCCCCCTCTGGAGGCCATCAAACAACCCCCTGGAAGCACTGATCAGAGGTGATAGGTGGAGACACCTTCCTAATGGGTAATCACTGGCCATTTGTCCACTGCCCACATGGTAGGCTGGGTGACAACATGGGTGTTCTTACATGCTCTGGTAGTTGGTAAAAGTGCACTGGAGATGCATTTGATCACAAAAGCATGTATTTTGTGCATTCAAATGGTGGACCACGGGGATGCAGAATTTGGGATTTGACCACATTTGTATAACTTGAGTGTGTGAAACAATGCTCTATGTATTCTTGAAGGACTGAGCAAGGGAAACATGTGACAATCAACAAGAAATAATGTTGAAAAGAGTGTAGACAAGACAAAGTAATTAGTCTCAGTCAGTCAATAGAAAATACAACTCTTTATTAGTACCTGTAGATGAGACAAGGTAATTAGTCTGAGGTACGTAAGTAAGTTTATGGGTGAACTTGGAATGGGAATGTTTGCACCTCAGTCAGTCAATGGAAAAGATGACTGAGGTGCGAATGTGACCAAAAATGGGGGATATAGTGACCATACATAGGAGTTGATCAGAGTCCCAGACCCAGACCGGAATATCTGCCAACAAAGAGAAGTCAATTCAAAGACTGGAGAATACAACAAAGTAGCTACAGTATTTATACCCAAATCCAATCTGAGTCATATCTACAACTAATGAGTCATAAGACTATGTACTGCATGGAGCACTGGTCATGGGTTGTAGTAGAAACTTCTGGAGCATATGTTGTGCAGCCTCAAATCAGTAAAGATGATCCCCTGGACCCCTAGCCCAGACCGTCTGATGCCGTGATCCGCGATAAGATAACCTGTGTCAAGATAAGATAAGATGGTTGATGGAAAGATGAAAAAGTGATCAAATTATGACATTACCCCCTCTCTAGGGTCAATATCCTCATTGACTGGGCCAATGGGTGTAAAGGCATTGTCATACAGGTCGAAGAGTTGTCGTTGGGGATATGGGAGGCACTCGTCTTTGGGTTTGTAGTGATGGATGAGATAGTCCCAGTGTCCGGCTTTGAGCATTGGCAGGAGGTGAATGCGTGTGTCTGGGTTGGATTGTTTCCTCTGCCAAGCCTTCAGGACTCTCTTCACGTAGGTAAGGTGACATGATGGTTCCCAGGTGTTCTCACTATGTGGCCATCCCTTCCATTTAACCAAGTATTGTTTCCCTTGGCCGACATTTTGTTCTTTCACAATCTCTTTGACTTCCCATTCCTCTGCTCCTCCAATCATCTTGGCTGCAGGTCTCTTCTCTTGGCAGTGGGGGGGTGGTTTGTGATAGGGTGTCAACAGTGATTTGTTGAACACTGGGTGTCTTCGGTCCATGTCCGGCAAATCCAGCTTCCATGCGGCCGCCCCAACCTTCTCCAATATCTCGTATGGTCCCAATCTCTTGTTGCTCATCTTCTTTGATGATCTATCCGTCTTGATATTGTCCCCTTCTACGTACACCTTCATCCCAACCTTCAACTCCGGAACTTCTTTTCTTTGTTTATTGTAGTATTTTTTCATTTTTTCATTTGCTTTTTCTGGTGCTGTTTTTGCTTCGTCTTGTATTTCTTTGATTCTTTTTACAAACTCTTCTGCCGACTTGTTTCTCGATTCCATCTGCTGCTCTACTCCCTTCCATTGGTGATATCCATGATTTGCGTAGAATGGCAATACTTTTGTAGACAAGTTCATCTTGTTGTTATACGTGAACTCGGCCATTCCCAGCCACTCTGACCAGTCTGTCTGATGGTAATTGACATAGATATGGAGATAGTGCTCAATCTCCTGATTCATGCGCTCTGTCTGCCCATCTGTGATTGGGTGATATGCGGTCCCCGGATTCATTTCCATGCCCAACATCCGATTTGTCTCCTTCATGAAGCCCTTGATGTATCGTGAGTCCCTGTCAGTGATGATCTTGCGAGGGATCCTATGATAGCGGAAGACCTGGTCCCTTGTCAACCATGCTACTCCTTTGCTGCTGATGTCAGTACTAATGGGTTCAGCATGGATCATTTTTGTGAAGGTGTCACACCACACATGGACCGCATTATACTCGTTGCTGACTGGTAGGGGTCCAATTTGATCCATCGAGATGATTTCCCATGGCACATTTGGAACTGCATGCGGATGCAGAGTCCCTGTCCTCGCTCTCCTGGTCTTGGTCCGTTGGCACGCCTTGCATGTCTGGATGTATTTCCAGATCTGATTTCCCATCCTTGGCCACCAGTAGTTCCTTTCCACCATTTCCTGCGTTTGGTTGATCCCTGCATGTCCGACCAAGCGTGTGTCGTGGTGTAGTCCGATGATCTTGTCCTGCAACTCCTTGTCCCTTGGTACGTAGAGCTTCCCATGGTACGTGATAAGTCCATCTTCTTTCTTCCATCTGATGAGTGATTTTTCTAAGGCCGCCTTGATGCTTCCATTGATTGATTGAATGGCCTTGATCTCATTGACCAGTTGCTGATCTTACCCTTTGAATGTGACTTCTTGTGATTGGAAGAACTTGGGCTTCAGCAGAGTGATGTCCACGTTGTTGTTCTTGCCCTGATCGTGATCTGCTCATCGAGATAAGAGATTTGCCTTGCGGTTGAGTGTGCCAGGCCAATGTCATAAGGTGAAATCAAACTCCGCCAACTCCGTGATCCATCATGCTTGCCGTTGGTTGAGCTTCTGTGGCTTCCGGAAGTACTGGAGATTTTGATGATTGGTGAAGATCTCAAATGTTTTGGTGGCTCCCAGGAGTAACTGCCTCCATTCATCTAATGATAGCATGATTGCAAGCATTTCCTTGTCATAGATCTTGTAATTTTGCTTGGTTTTGGTCAATGCATGTGAAATAAACGTGATTGGGCGCCAAATGTTGTCTTGTTTTTGGCTCAAAATGGAACCTGTTGCCCCTTCCAAAGCATTGGCTTCCACACAATATTGGCCGGTGTCATTTGGTAGTGCTAAGACTGCATCCTCTGCAATTCTCTTCTTCAATCCATTAAATGCTGCGTGCTCATCCAGACCCCATGACCATCCTGACTTCCCTGTCAGCCATGTCAATGGCTTTGCCACCTCCGCATATCCCTGAACAAAGTGTCGATAGAAGTTTGTGAAACCCAGGAAGGCTTGGACTTGTTTGATGCTCCACCCCTCTTCCCAGTTGGGCATTGGTCCTTGCCTCCAATATCTCCACTGGCTGGCCCAGCACTAGCCTGGCCACTGGGCTCCTCCAGTGTGGCCTTCCACTGTTGGTGTCTCAGGAGCTGGCCATCACTGGCCCCTCTGAGCCACTCACTATCTTATCTGGGTTTGTCATCATCTACTTGTCATTTGCTATTGTTCCATTGCAGTGATATCCCATCATCATCAGTCACTTGTCACAGCTGACTATATAGTGTGATACCTGGGCACATGGATCCTTGAACCGTTCTCTAAGGATCCCCCTCTGTGCTCAGGTGAGTAGTATACCTCCCTTGTATTTGATAGTCTCTAAGGATCCCCCCTGTGCTCAGACCCATGTGAGGTTGTTGTGTGCTGTGTGCTCTCTTCCTTTGGGCTGGCAGGAGTTGCCCTTACAGGTACTAAGGTTCACTTGGTTTAAATTTGGGTTTGGTGTCATATACTTGGACGCTGTTGCAACAAAAGCACTCAGTACTCCATACCAAGTTTTCTCTTGCCTTTGTGACAATCAACACAGAATACAATCGAAAAGACAAGTCAATTCCAAGACTGGAGAATACAACACAATGGCTACTGTATTTACTAAGTCCAGTTTGAGTCTTATCTACATCAAACAAGTCATCTGACTATGTACCGTGTGGAGCCTTGGTCATGGGTTGTAGTATAGACTTCTGGAGCACACGCTGCGCGACCTCTTGTACAGATAACCCCCTTGAACCCTAAACCCAGACCGTGTGGTGCCGTGATCCGTGATAAGATAGTCCCATGTCAATGATAAGATAAGGTGATTGATGGAATGATTGTGAAAAATGATTGAATCATGACAGCCTTGGCTGATTTGTTGGGTCTCATACTGGGACTAGTATAAATACTGTAGCTATTGTTATATATTCCCCAGTCTTGGAATTTACTCTTCTTATCAACTTTGTTTTTGGATTGATTGTCACAGATTGTTTGGTTTGGGATTTGTTGATTTTATTTGAGTCTTTGTGTGACACTACCATGTTGCGACTGCTCAGATCCAGTCTTCAGTCCAAGAGAGATTTTGGATACAGTGTTCTGTCCCCATTGAAGCCCTTACACTTTCACACATCTGAGAAGCTGATTAGAGGAGTGTGACGTGTTTTGTGGTTGAGTTAATTTCATTGTTGATTCAGTCGTGAGCATGCCCTCAGCATTTCAGTGGACATGGCCACAGTAGCAGTAGAAGGAAAGGGTGCAGATCCATAGATAGTCAAACTGGTCGATGAGGACAAGGGCAAGGTGGTTGTAGTTGAACTGGGAGACAAGGCACATGCAGAGGGGATGGCCCTGACAACTCCACCCCAGTCTCAAATGACAAGGAAGAGTCAGATATGTCTTTGCGAGCTGAGACAGAGCACAATTTGGATGGTAGCAATGACTAGAACACACCTCTGCCTTCAGCTGAACCTAGCCGTCAAACATTTCCATATCTTAAAGATCCTCCTTCCTTTAATTCATCCAGTAGCAACCCAGGTGTAGTCTAAGTTGCAGAACCTGACAGTGGCAATGAGGATGAGGAGGAGACCGTGGTGGCAAGTATTAATGGGCACTGGTGGATACAGGGCAACCTGGAGTTCATAGTTTTCTGGGATGGTGATATCACCTGATGTTGATGAGTGTAAGGCAATGACAATATACATTGAAAACCGGAGACAAGTTGTCCTATGGCACACATACAGTGCCAAAATTATGGACAAAGGCACAGAAAAGTTACACCGCTTCAGGTCTCAAAATGTATTGCTTCAAAAAAAGACACCAACTTTGACCAATGCCTAATTTTTCACCGCTTCCAGGATACCACAAAATGACATTGCTCAATCTCAGTCACTGGAAAAAGCACTGGTTCTCTTCTTGCATGAAAAATGCACCACTCTAAGTGCACCGGTGATAGGCTGGCTACCAGACACGCTCTGCACCAGCTCTGTAAGGACGTATTTTTGCGCTTTTTACAGAGTTTACTCCCGAACCACTCGGTGTATCGTGTCGCGGATGACAGTGTTGCACTCAGTAGGACTTAAGGGTCTACTGCCCAGTCAACGACTGTGGATAGTGTCGACAATAGCAAGGCAGTCAGACCACTACTGTGGAACTGGTCTTACGAGTCTATACCAGGCTCAGGGCCATTAGTGACGAACGCTTGGACCGCGACCATTCCCCAAAAAGGGATCTTTCATTGCGTCGACTTCTCAAAAAGGGTCATTCTCTGCAGATGGGAACTTGGGCTGAAGGGCTGAGCAATGTGCGACGTTCTCAATAATACGACTACTACTGGACAGGACTTGGCGTTACGAGATTGAACCAATCTTGTCGCGGCAACTCCCGGTTTTGAGTTGGACGTTTCCTCAGATCGTGCTACGGCAACGACTTGTCACATGTCAGGATCCATTCGATCACGGGACATTGTGGACGCATCGCGATGACACTTCCAAGTGTCACGGCGAGTCGCGTCCATGCCCAAACACACTAAAATCGACACGGCTAGATCTGTGAACCGAGTCATGTGGGGAACGACTGGCGTGCCTAGGGCCATACGGCTTCCTGGGGCACCCACGTTGGTCTCACTTGCCAAGACATACCCGTTGGCCAATCCGGCACGTCGTATTCCAAAAGTATGACGCGGTGGGTTGACCCACATCAAAAGTATCATATGGACTATGGGGCGGGGTCCTGATCACTCAGGACCTGTCCGATCGTTCAACTTTTCAATTACCCTAAAAGGCAACCGATCTTAGATAGCGTAGCTACTATGCAGTTGTACAGGACTTCACTAAGCATCGTCGTAGACAGTATAAGTAGCACGTTGTTTCTTTGTATTAGAAAGCTTTCCCCCGGACTGTGAATCACTCTCATTTCAGATTGTTTTGTACAATTTGCGTGCCGCGTGATTCCACCCTAAGAAGTTCTGCTACCCCTGCCCGGTCGCGACGAGTTGCTCCCTGAGCACTTGTAGCTACTGTGATTTGAGTTTGAGTTTTGAGACATCAGAAAGTCGGATTCGCCGCATCTGGTTTAGTCGCGGCATTTAGTGTCGTCGCCTTTGGGCTTTG